CCCGCTTTGCGTGAACCCAGTAAACCAAGTGAACCACAGTGAACCACCATTGAACCACGAGTGAACCACCGGTGAACCAACATATTTCATGTACCGCGCATCTCTCCCTGCGCTCAACCCACTTTGCTTTACTGTAAAGTGTAAACCAAATGAAACTTGAACTAGACTTTGAAATTTTACTCAAGTCACTCAACCCATCCGATGCGGGATGCATTGCCCATTTCGTAATTCTTTTAGAAATTGCACAGCTTTTGTAATTCCAAGGCAGATCTCAAAATAGGCAACCCCACTTTGGGCGGGATTTGCATTGACGAAAGCTCTAGTGTACCGCAGACTGCCGAAGAACACTGTAAAAGTCCGAGTTCTTTAAGCTTTTCAAAGATTATTTGTGTTTCTTTAGTCGTTTTCACTCTTGTATTGCACTTGGGATTTTTTTTAATGTATAATAGTATGCAATGGGAAATGGAAGTACTGTGCTACAGTTGCAGTTGCAAAAGCGGCTGTTGGCAACTTGATTTCTACCGGTATACGGCTAAATTATTGTTGCAGGAGTGGGTTTCTGTTGATTTATTCCAACGAAACATTTCAAAATCTATGAACGAAACGAATTAGAAGAAACTTGCAAAACGTGCAAAATTAAAGAATTAATAGTTACTAATTTACCGGGAGAACACCAAGCAAGATACAGTCACGCATCGGTGATTTATTATGAACAGTTGCACACAGTACCGCACACTGCACTCGTATGGCGAGATTATTAAAGAAGTAGTGAAAAATTGATCTTGAGTACTGCGCATTACACATTTAAGGGTTTTCTATTTTATAAAAAAAAGAATTTAATTCGTATATTTTGCAGCTCGAATCCCCTTCAACAGAAACACTAGAAAACCGATTTTCCGCAGCATTTTACTAGTGCCGCACTAATATGCGAACTACTCTAGTGATGACGTAACGAGCCACTGGTATTGCCTGTACTGAGACCTGCCCTGGTAATTAGCTGCAGTTAATTTAATCGCTTTTGCCAACTGCTTCTCTTGCGAATAGTGCTAAACATCGTACAACCCTACCTAAGACTGCGTCACCTTTGCAGCCTTCCTGTGGGTACTGTCGAAATACTGGATGACCTATTTCGGGAGCTCGCCGTGCAGCCGTGTCTATTGATAAAATATCGTTAAAAGTTCAATAAGCCTCTTTCTTAGGTTATTTATTCCCACACTTATTATTTAGCTTATTTATTGACCGAAGCGTAGCCAAGGTCGTCTATGAGCAGCGGCAATCGAAAAAGGATGTCTGTCCGTCGGTCACCGTCACCAAATGCCCGCATGAACTGGTGTGTTTGATACTCAATGCACACATGTTCGGTGGCCGTACGTACTCAGAACCCTTGTATTAAACTCATGATGCCTGTCCACCGGTCACTACCGCCAAATGCACTTTTGCACTGGGGTTCTGGTACCGAATGAAATACTAAACATGGGTTCATGCATGCGCGTATTGACCAAGGGTTTTCGGTAAGCCCGGAGATGCCCCCTTAAAGTTTCTGCCATACTCCCTATACATAAATAAGATTTCCAGTATGCCATTTGCCTGTTAATGCAGGTCCATACGATAATATAAATTAAATTAATTTATTTTAATTTATATTATCGTATCGCAGGCTTGAAGCGAATCGAAAAACCTTTCATCAGACGCACCGCAGATCTTTCAGTAGAGTAAAGTAGTGCCTCCGCAAAACGCTGAAGGATCTGCTTTTCGTTTGGAGGCTTACTGCACGAGTAAAGAACGAAAAACGAATGTAGCATGTGGATTTATAATGTAGCGAGTCACAACTGGACTGCGGCACTAGCCGCACTGCTACAGTTTGCCCAACCGTGCACTGTAACTAGCAAACCCGTTTGAAGTAGTATACTATATCCGCCCGATAGATCTGCACGACTTTCAGGTCAGGGCGCAATCTTCCCCTTGCCGGGTACTCAGCACTAGCCTTTCTCCCACCGGTGTGCACTGCGCTTGAATTTTTCCTTATACCACACTCTGTGGTGCAAGTCGGGCGGATGCAGTAATTTTCTGCGAAATGACCCTGCGCTTAAACCGGTAAAACTGTTCGCCGGTCCAGAAAAACAATATTCGAAAATTTTGCCGCCTACATTATTTTACTTTGCGATACGGCCAAATGGACTTCACCAAGTCAAACTCCTAACAAAGCAATGTCACACAAAAGTGTGAAAGCGTGAACGAGCAGTTTTCCAAATACACTGGCGTGTCTTAGCGAAATGTGCATTTCCCGCCATGTCACCGTTACGAAAACGTGAACTTTTCAATCAGATGAAAGTATTACATAGGAATGTGGATTTCAGGCTATTCCGGGACCACATCGAAACGGCCACGTGTGTTACATTGCGCCACCACAACTGACAATTAAAAAAAACAACAGTTCAAAAAGGGATCATTGTTCCTCGGTTACCATTTAAATGCGTTCGAAAGGGACATTATTGCCGAAATATCACCACGTGCGTGAAGCATGGCACAGATCGCTGCAGCGTCGTACCAAGTTTCTGGTACATACAAAGAAATTTACATTGCACCTTGACAGAACCGTACGCTAGCGAGTACACTAACAACTGTAAAAAAGCGGTCAAGCAAGATTTACGGAGGTGGTGTTGTAATAACTAGAGCTTCATCCATCTGTACAGTTTTGCCGGTTACATGTGTGAGGCGAGGGATCACTAGCGTTCACGCCTGAGGCGCTAGGCGCTACGCCGATGGATTACGTGTCTGTGTTGTGTCTCGCTTCGGATTGGCTTGCGTTTTGTTAGTGGGCGCGGCATAGCATGTGCTGCACGGCGTAGAATTGGCTCTACGATTTACGATCGAGCTGCGCCGATCAGTGTTGATTTTCTGTTGTCCAGACTTTAAATATTATTAAAGTCAGCAATTGGCGGTGCGACGTCTTGTGTTTCCACATAGTTCGCAATCCAGATCGCATTGCTCACTCCACAGGATCTATTCCGTTTAGGTCTCTGTCCCTGGATCCATTCTGGATCTAGCATTAGACATGCAAATACTGTACATCCATTTCATAAGCTTTAAGCTCCTAATGAAGGAGCATAAAGTAAAAAGAAAAGCGAACTAGCCATGCAAGTGAATTGCGCAACCTACAGCAACCCTTTAAAGCGTTTTTTCCATCGTAACCGTTTAATTTTTATTTGTCACAGTTTTTTCAGGAATATGGGGCTTGCAGCCTGATGAGTTTTTAACGTTGATAAAAATTTAAGCGAAACTAGTTTATTACGGTTTTTCTTATTTTCAGAGTACTTTTCCGAATACTGTACTTTAGAAGCTTGCAAAAGCGCGCTTTGTCTGAAAAACGGAAACTAAGAATGCTTGACTCGGGCCATGACGGACATGATTTCTGTGCCCTTGCTTTTTATTTTGCATAGCTTTTCTCTTACTTATTATCGGGGCCGTATGTATAGCCGCTCACATATCATTGACGCGAAGCCGCTGCGAAGACGAATAAGGGTACTGTTTGCGTGATCGGTCACCACAGCCATGCAAATGCTCGCAACCGTCAAAAACGTTAAGGCGTTAGAGACGTGTGGTGGATGATTTTGCTCATTAACCGTTCAAAAAGTTCGCCGCAAATGTTGCCCAACAATCGTTTTTTTCTGCTTTTGGGTTGTAAAATAAAATGGAAATGCGTAAAAATTTTTCTACGAATGTTGTGGATTGTTTGTACTCCGTATACGTCGAACTAGGACGTTTCGGCAGACATTATTCATAGCAAATTTGTATCAAAAATGTTTGCGTAGCGTCGTACAATTTCGTGAAAATGTATGGAATGGGTGCGTGTTTAGAGTTTGGCAGCTACAGATTCACACCTCAACACTCGAAAATTATTCGTTTAGGCGGTGAATTCACATCCCGACATTTTGACATTTAGCCTGTCGGGACATAATATATTTTGGTTCATAGTGGTTCACTAGGTTTATTTGGTACAAACAAAGTGAGATGAGCGCAGGTAGGGATGGTGTGCACATGAAATATGTTGGTTCACTGTGGTTCACTTAGTTTACTGGGTTCACGCAAAGCGGGGTAAGCGCAGGGAGAGATGCGCGGTACATGAAATATGTTGGTTCTCCGGTGGTTCACTGGTGGTTCAATGGTGGTTCACTGTGGTTCACTTGGTTTACTGGGTTCAAGCAAAGTGGGGTGAGCGCAGGGAGAGATGTGCGGTACATGAAATATGTTGGTTCACCGGTGGTTCACTCGTGGTTCAATGGTGGTTCACTGTGGTTCACTTGGTTTACTGGGTTCACGCAAAGTGGGGTGAGCGCAGGGAGAGATGCGCGGTACATGAAGTATGTTGGTCCACCGGTGGTTCACTGGTGGTTCACTGTGGTTCACTTGGTTTACTGGGTTCAAGCAAAGCGGGGTGAGCGCAGGGAGAGATGCGCGGTACATGAAATATGTTGGTTCACCGGTGGTTCACTGGTGGTTCAATGGTGGTTCACTGTGGTTCACTTGGTTTACTGGGTTCAAGCAAAGTGGGGTGAGCGCAGGGAGAGATGCGCGGTACATGAAATATGTTGGTTCACCGGTGGTTCACTGGTGGTTCAATGGTGGTTCACTGTGGTTCACTTGGTTTACTGGGTTCAAGCAAAGTGGGGTGAGCGCAGGGAGAGATGTGCGGTACATGAAATATGTTGGTCCACCGGTGGTTCACTGGTGGTTCAATGGTGGTTCACTGTGGTTCACTTGGTTTACTGGGTTCACGCAAAGCGGGGTGAGCGCAGGGAGAGATGCGCGGTACATGAAATATGTTGGTCCACCGGTGGTTCGCTGGTGGTTCAATGGTGGTTCACTGTGGTTCACTTGGTTTACTGGGTTCAAGCAAAGTGGGGTGAGCGCAGGGAGAGATGTGCGGTACATGAAATATGTTGGTTCACCGGTGGTTCACTGGTGGTTCTATTGGTTTAAAACTTTAAACCAAGTTATCGCTAATGTCCTAACTCAGACATTCTCTCCCGCATGCCGATAATCTCGCCGGGAACCCAGGTTTCCGCGTCCATAGTCAGCTTCACAAAGACCTTTTCCTGATGGTCAAAGATGATCGCAGCGACAGGGTAGGCGGGGCCGGCGATAGGCTCATCGATACGGTTAGCGTGGCCGGGGCGAGACTCCGTGGAGAAGGCCAGCGGTGGTTTCGTAGCGGAGAACTTGTACTGGTACAGGTCGCGCATCTCGGATTCCAGTAGCAGACCACTCTGCAAAAACCGTTAAATCGCTAACCGTTATCTAGAATTAATTAGCTAGCGAACTAGTTTAGAGCTAGCTGTAAAATAATGCAGCTTCAGTGATGCATAAATAGAGAAAACGCTGGCTCTCCTTGTTTTGCATAGTTGCACAAATTAAGATTGTGGTTCCTACACCGACCTTTCCGGGTCCTTCGGCCAGCTGGGCATAACTCATCAAGGGAAACCGCACGAGATACAGCACTTCCTCCAGCACCTGACGGCGATGGGCACCGGACGGTTCCAGTTTGCGAACAGTGCACTCGTTCAACGCCCACCTGCATGGATGACATGAGATATTAATGTGAGCAGCTCGTGACCTGATCAGAGCTCTCCAACTTGCTTCTCAGCCGCCAAGTAGACGTTCTGCTCCTTGACCGACAGCGTATCACGCTGCAGGATCTTGGCCAGCGTCCCCTTTCCCAGGGCCGCCACACCGTCCGAAGCGAGGACGTTGTCAGCGAATTTGTCGATGAATTCCAGGCAGCGCTGCACAATCGTCTCGATACAACACTGCAAACGAGTTCTGTTAACAATCGTACGAACCCGGGTTACACAAATCGAGAAGTGTAACGAACATTTTCCAGGATGAACAGGCAGTTGTCCACGGCCAGATGGGCGCTCATCAACTCCCAGCATTTCTCCACCAGCAGCGGCACCTCGTACTTGTCCGCGCACATCATCGTGGCGTCGACGTTGTCCGTACGCAAATCCACCGTGTCCGTGTACAGGAACCTGCAAAACAAGCAGTGGCCGAAATAACGCATACAGTATACTTTGGTTGCACCATTATGACACTCCACGCCAACACTCCACTGGGCTGTGTATCGTACGGTGAAAAGGAAAAGTTTTGCTGCTACACTAATATTACAAAGTATTATGGACAGTGCCAACCTGAGCATATTAGCAAACGCAACGGGAGCAACATCCGGAATGTCCACATAATTCTTCCGATCCGCAGCGGCACTTCCGTCGAACATCGTAGCAAACACGGCGCTACGCAGGCCCAGAACGTGCCTGCAGGGCAACACAAAATTGAACAGCCCACAGTCGAGTTATTAGCAGAGCGCGCCGGTCAGTGCTTACTTGTGAGCCGAGAAAATCTCCGCTGGTCCGAATTGTTGTCCGACGGTGAACTGTACGTCGCTAAAGTCCCCGGTGTCCCGCGAACCGTTCACGCTGCCGCCGCGTCCCCGTCCCCCACGGCCTCGTCCCCCGCGTCGTCCGGAGCTGGATGGTTGGGCAGACATTGTTCTGGCTGTAAAGTTATCACCGGCTCCTACGTTAAGTGGAATTCACGTGCGAAATGTTTTGCCGGTGTCGTGTATGACTGTCCAGAATACACCGGTGATGCTTCCTGAAGGCATGCACATAGAATTAGAAGATTTCGAAAAGTTTACCGAGATATTTCGAAGATTTAAAACTACGGAAAGGAATGAAACACAGACTCTGCAATCTCAAAACGATACTGAGAAATGAAAATCGGCCGGCGCATCGGAATAGCCGATCCGGTCCGATTTGACATACGGATTGGTTATTTCAAAAATCAGATAATTCAGACAATGGTCGGATTTAAAAATGTTACTAGTACAGCCGTTCCGGATGCGATGGGATTTAGAAAGAATATCCGAGAAGAGCCCGACGGGTGGTGGTAACGGTATACGAAAAGCATTTATGGTGTGGAATGCTCGAATACCCGCAATATCGCGGTGCAGAATAAAAATTACTGGTTGGTTGGTTTTGAGTTGCGTACGAGCAACAGTGTATTTACCTATAACGAGCTGTTGTTTTTGTAACTGTTTCTCTGACACGTGTTTATGTGATGGTTTGAAATAAAATCGCATTCTACAGTGTACGAGCCGGATACACGGCACACAGTGCCGCACCGCTTACGTATACAGATACTTACACATCCCTTATAACTTTACACTTTTGCTCAGCCGGGAGCAGCCCTCAACTCTAAAAGTTAGGACGACACTATTATCAATCCGGTGATCCCGCAAATATACAGAACATTTCATTTTCCGGTTATTAAGTACGCAGAGCCGAAGCATTCGCATTCTCTGTAGAGTGTAAAGTAAAGCTGTGTACTTGTACATATTGTACTGTATTATACTGAACTTCACCCAATACATCAGCTGTGTATAAGCCCCAATTTTCACCTCTGAATCGAAAATCTCCAAATGAAGTGTACTTAACAATATTACATTCGCGTGCTGGTTTTGTTCGGCATTTTGTGTTAGTTTGTTTCCTACTTGGGATTCCTCGATTCATTCTGACAGGACAACCTTTGCAACACAAATCGGAGCGAATCACCAAAGCATTTCGTCCAAATTTCTGTGTTTTTCCAACCCCGCCACCGTAAAACACACTAAAAAAGGATAAGAAAACCGGATTTTATTCATTTACACAGCTCAGCGACACCTGCCCTAAACCAAACTATTGGCACAACCAAGCAATCAAAAAAACAGCCCACAACCCATAGAAAAAACATCACCGCAGCATTCAACCAATCACAGATCCGTTTAACCACAACTAATTCCTCATCCCCCGCGACTCTCCAGATTATCGGCCAGCCGGCGCAACGCATGGCCCAGACTCTCCTTCTGGCAGTCGCGGTACATGCAGTAGGCGTCCCACGCCACGAACAGCGTGCCCAGCCCGATGGTCAACCCACCCGACACCCGCGCCATCACCTTCACCACGTTGTTGGTGGCCTGCTGCGCCGCCATCTCCGCGGCGTTCTTCACGGCGGCACTGGCGGCCTGCTGGGCGGCGGCCGCCTCCGCGGCTTTGGCAGCCGCTTCCTTCGTGGCGGTCTTGGCAGCCTCCATCGCCGCGCGACTGCCCGCTTCCGCCAGGGTCTTCTCGGCCGCTTTGGCGGCGGCGATCTCCGCAGCGGAATTCAGTCCCGCCTTTAAGAAGAAAATACTCGGTAATACATCAATAATAAATAGATGCTTAATACTCGGAACATGAGAGCTGCTTTTGGATAGTGTCCACCTAATAAATGAATGCCTCCCCTACGTTATACACAACGGAGAATACTGTCGAATCCCGTTAATGATCTTTAGTATACTATATACGCTTATGGCAGATACTCTAAACCGCTAAAGTACAGCTTCAGCAGAACGCTGAGAAAGAAGCAAACACCACAACAGACGTCTCCAGACCCAGATTACGATGTTCACAACACTTGCATAAACACTTGTTTACCGATGAGCGCAATGGTTTACATACATGAGTGCACGGCACATAACATGCAATTCATTTTGTGAAATTACGTAGTGTAATGGTTTGGACGTCATTTCGCGGCACGTTCCCTTGACAGAATTTGAGAATCCACAGATAAATGAATGAATCAACAAATAAATGATTATAAATTTGATTCAACAATGTATAAATTTTTTATAGCTAATCTTGTCAGAAACCGCCCTTACAGAAATAGGGAATTTGTCGTTCTAAATCTCAAATCAGGACAGTGTCCAAATCAGGACAGAGTGAAAAGAGTCAAATTATACCGAAATTTTAAATCTTAATTTTTGCTTTGATTCGGTTACTTGAATGCCTCGGTCAAATAAAACAAATAAAAATATCAAAATTCAAAATTACAAAAACTGGACACAAAATTAATGATCTATTATTACGAAAATGCAATAGAAGTACTCAAAAGCATGAAATTGCTTGAAATTAATCCAAAAACGAATCCAACGTCAATAATTCATATACAATTCGATTAATAATTAGCTCTGGAACTTTGTTCAATTTTAATTAAGCAAATCTAATTTAATTTTGCATAAAAATGTTTATGCAATTATGACTTATTTATTGAAGCATTAGTTCTACGGATAAGAAAAAGTATGGAGGAAATTGCACACACAGTTGTAATGAAAATTACTGTACCACCAATTTGATACCAAGAAACCAACTGAGAAGGACTCACCCGCGCCGCCTTTTTCGCCGTCTCCCCCACGGCCAACTGCACGGCCTCCTCGGCCACCATCTTCGCCGCATCGGCCACCGCGAACTCCGCCGCCTTCACCGCCACCTCGCGCGCCGCATCCCCGGCCATGGCGCTAGCCGTCCGCTTCAGCGCCTCGGCCGCCGCCTTCTCCTTCCCCTTCTCCAACGCCCGCACCGCCAACATCTTGGCCGTCTCATCCCCGCCCTCCTGCAGCACCTTCTCCGCGGCGCCCCGCGCCACCGTAAACGCGATCTTCTTGGTCGGCCCCTCCACCATGCCCCCCACCACCCCCAGCGCAATATCATCCGTCACATTAACCCCCGCCCGCGCCGTCACCTCCAGGCTCTTGATCAACAACGGCAACAGCACCGCCACCAACGGCTCCCCTAACACCTTCCGCACCGTCTCGTCCTCGACGTACCGGTTCAGCGTGAAGATCGTCGAGCTGATGAGCGTCGCCAGGCTGAGTCCGCCGAAGGTGTGCCCGATGGAGTGGGCGCTGAGTAAGGCGGGGAAGGCGCCGTGCTGGGCGACAACGAATTTGGAGGCGGTGTAGCGGGGGGTCTGGAGTTGCTGGAGGCAGTAGTCGAGGATGTCGTGGGCGATCTGGTCTTCTTCGATGGCGCACTGGAGGCGCTCCATCAGGGTGCTGTGGTCCTTGGAACCCACGTACGTCCCCACGGTCTTGGTCACGCCGCCCGCGGCGCTGACGCCGGCCCCGCCCCATAGGAGGGCCGCGGCCGCGGTGGGCACGGCGGCGGCGCCGGCCGTGGCGAAGGTGACCACGCCGCCGGCGATGGCTAAAGCACCGCCTGGAATAAAAAACACGGTGGTTTCCCTCCTTAACGTCGCTATTCGACCGTGCAGCAGACCACAGAAATTTTCGTAATGCAATGTCAGCAAAAATTATGGCGAACAAATTCAAAATATTTAGCTTTTGATAATCCTTTTCTCCCATTTTCTCCTGTGCCAATATTTACGTACCCGCAATGGCAAAAAAATGACAGAACTATCTCACTTTGCTACCAAGTTTTTATTTTCCACAATGGCAGTGCTAATTTTCTGATATGTTCCCAGTCACCACCATAAGCCATTACACTACCTTCCTTGATGTCAACACGCAAACAAAAGTAGCCAACATGTTACTGCGGAATGCGGATAAAGAATGAAAACTGAAAATTTCACAATTAATAATACTACAAAAAAATTTATTATCACGTATGATAAAATACATGAAATTATGAAAATAAAATATAAACAACAACCGGGCGAAAAGACAAAAAAAAGTGCGAATAACTCTCTCTGGCTGGGAACTGACGACATTTTATGACGGTTCTTTAGTTTTCAAGCGACTGTACAGATACGCTTGTCCCGAAAATCACACAATTTATTAAATCACAGAATCGACGAAAAATGAATTATTCTTAGCAAGATCTTATAATTATTTATGCTTGGCAAATTAGCAATGAAGCGGGAAATCATGGTCTATGAAGTAGGAAGTAAACCATTCTACTTGTATCATGAACTAACAACTGCTGGCTCACCAATAATGGAGACGGTTCCCCCGGCGATGGCCGTGTTCTTCTCCACCCGGGCCACCTCATCGACGGCAGCGGCCGTCTCCCGGATCAGGCGGATGGTCCGCCGTCGTGTCTGGATGGCCTTGGCCGTGACCACGTTGAGATCCTGCAGGAAGTGCCCCACCAGCTCCTCCTCGCCACTGGCGCACGGCCGCACCAGCCCGAAGAGGGGAATGTGCTCCCTGGACTCCTCCGGGGCCGTGGGGGTGCTGGGCGTGGAGAGGGCAGCAGTCACTACACACACGAACGAATTTCATCATTTTACGAGCAAATGATTAGAATGAAGAGTAGCAGTATAGCCACTGGAGTTCGACATCGAAGAGCAACCAATTTATACTGCAATATCCACCACCACCATCTGGAAATCCTTACTAGGATGATAAATCTCGCATAACACCATGACTGAATATCCACTTAATTTTATAAATTACCTCATTCAATGTTAAAGTAGTTTTTTTAGGTTTTACGAATTTTATTGCTCACTGTTTATCAGCTCAGTTGCTTAGCCCATAGCCATAGGCCATAGGGTTTATGATTTATCGTTAACTGGTTACTGGTAAAGTTTTTTACTCGTATGATCCTTTGAAATCAATCAGTCTCGCAAATGATAACTTTATTTTGTTACAAACTGCAATATTTAAATATTTCTAGCACTCTACGGGTGAAAAGATTTCGCTGGCACCATTAGTGTGCAATTGCACTGAAAAGTACCCAGCACCATACGGTCCATACCTGATGGACGATCCGCAATCATCAACTCCATAATCACCGTTTGGTGTGGGATCGAGCCCAATCACAGCACGTATGAAACTTCGATCCCTAATCTTCAGAAAATTACCATCCGTCCGAATTTAGCGACATCCATTAGTGAACAAATCTCGACACTGCAGTATAAATTGGGTCGCCGTGGGACATACACACGATATCATGCAAACAGCAAATTATACAGCAGCACGCTCAGGCACTGAGCGATGCAGTGTGGATGGCGCAGGGTCGGATTACTATTCCCGCCGAGTATTCCCAGATAGTCTATTCTTTATTCAAATTTGTTAAAATAAAGAAGATTGAAAGTTTTTAAATTTTAAAACAATAAAAATTGTCGAACAACCTGTTACGGTGTTACCAGTTTCAAAGTCAAACAGCTGCCTGACTATTCGATTCCTACGATATGCCACATGAAAAGATCAACCACGAATTACTGTGGTTTATACCGTACTTTAACGTCGCTTTGACGCTATCTCGCTACGGTATGTCACCGTATGTACAACTGTGCATTTCGCAGTATGTGCACTTCGCTATAACTTCCGCCGGAACGTGCTAGATGAATCATCCGAATGAAACTGCCGCTGCGGGGTGTTTGAGTCAATCTTTTTGCACGACTTGCCGCCATACTACGACAGTACTGTACGTACCGTACTTCTCTTTACCATTAATCTGACCTACTATTGTAACTTGTATGTACTTCATAGTTCAAACTAAAAAACTAAGATCTATACTTCATAATAAAAAAATAATAATTACAATACTGATAATAAAATCTTCGAATAAAATTAATAGATAGAGAAATACGTTCCAATTCTGTCTCCACTTCTAAAACATAATTATAAAAACGAAATGATTATAAAAAAGGGATACATGAACATAAATTCTGGAAACTTTGATTTCACGTACAGTGTCATATTCTCCGTTCTCGTGTCGGATATGTATCTGGGTTATACACTACCAATATCTCTATACAGTAACTTTAATACGTGTGCCGGTGTTCGGTTTGTGCTTTAATTGTAGCGTAGTTGTAGCTTATACCTACAATAATCCTACTGACTCCTGCATATGGCCAGGGTTCAGAGTCCCAGACTCTTATCAGTTATTTTGCTGTATGCCATAAAGCTGGAAAATGCCGCTGTTATAGGTCGACGTCAGAGCGTTATAAGATTCAAGGACAAACACAAAATTTAATCATTTTATTATCATCCGTGCTGTATCCCAGTGCAAAATTTATGACCACCCTCTGACCTCTAAAGGGCAAGGTGCAAGATGGCCTTCAGGAGGTCATAAAGTAGGCAAAAAGATGGCATCTGGGAGCCCCCCAACTTTGAGGCCTCTGGAAGGCGCCGCCGGATGCCAGCAAAATGGCTGTTGGTTATGGGCCTCCCAAAGGTGCCATGGCGGCGTTCCTGGTGCCTTCCAGATGGCAATCCCGGATTGGGTATTAGGGCCTGTTATCAAACCACATAGTGCCTATTGCGGCACTGCCTTCTATATAAGGCTGGATTATCCATGTTTATTGTAACCAAGTGTGATTTAATCATGATCCATATTCCATACTTTACTGGGCCATTGTATCATGCTAGCTAATAACTTAGTGCAGAATTGCACACACACGATAATTGCTAGGTTTTAGTTAGATAAATACATTTTTGTAATTTACCAACTAGCGCAATCATCGCCAATATTGTCCTAAGTTCCTAATAAAACTAACTGGACAATGACGCATATTGTATAGTATTTTCTTCAGTTTTCTACCAATTTAATAATTATTTAAATTTTATTAGCGCTTGCATTATTGAAAAATGAGAAATAAGTAACAATAAACAAATATTGATAAAGAATGCGAAAAACAATATCAATAATATTAACTATGATTAAATAAATGGCAAATTTAATTAGCAACAATTAATATTAATAATTATTACAGATATTAGCAATTGTTCATGGATACAAGCGCTAATTTTATACTTACTATTATTATTCCTCCTTTTTCTAACAGTATTGTATAATGCAAAAAGAATTTTTTTGTAATTACTGTAACAAAAAAAACGCTCTGAGAAAGAGTACGTTGTACGAACGACTCGTACAATTAAGTAAGTAAATTAATTTCATGATTAAATTTTGGAGAATTGGAGTAAATCCACACTGCCAGACCCGGCAGTAGTGAGTCGGCGATGTCCGCCGTAAACCGTAAAACGGGCACCGCTTTTAATCAAAAGTACAGAGTTAGACAGAGCGTGTGTCTAACGAATTTCTGTCTGCTCCCTTGATTAAATGCGGTTTACGGCGCCCGGTTGCTTCCCCAGGCGGACATCGCCGAGTATAACCCTTTCCCGCGTTTGGAGGCGGAGCTGCAGTTGGCATGTGAACAGCAGAGATAGCCAGCAACGGCAGCTGAGCTGCACTGCTGCAGTCTGTCTTTTTCACTTTGTCAAGTTTGCTCAAATAAGAACCTTGTTTTTGTGGATGAAAATTAATCATAAACGATTTTTATTCTAATTTAACAGTTATTACAATTACAAGACACCACAAATAGTTAACTATTGTGCTTGTTGGCAGATGGTGCTTGAATCACTTTGTTTGATATGTTTGCGCTCATGCATGATACAGCGATACTTATCCCTTGTTATAACAGTAATACTGTAATAATAACACATATGGCCTGTGGGTTACTGCAACTGACGATGGACTAGTCAGTACTCACTACTTTCGCGTCTTGTGTCCTTACTCCTTCGAAACCTATAATCTTGGAAACTATATTCCTAAATCTTGTACTCTGGACTCTGGAGGCCAGGCTTAGCCAGCGCTCATTTCGAGATCACCCTAAAAAGTAAAAACTCCTCATTGTCAGTCGCAGATCTTCATGGGTCCCCAAGTGCTGCAGCAACGGTGTTTACGGTACGACTTTATTTTCACAATTTCACTGAATAAAGAATCTTTTCGTTGATGAATGATAAGCACATGTGCAGTTTATAAATTATTCGGTTGGATTGTTTGGTTGTTTGTCATCGTTGATTTTACTTAATTCCTATATTTCCGATTTTTCCTTTGATTTTTATTTTTTGTTGCTGATTAATTTTGCAGGCGTACCCTGTGATGCTTGGGAAAATCAAGGCCAACGGGAACTTCAACGCTCAAACCATTCACCACTAATGAGGCGCATGCGTTCAAGGCCCATCGATCGCTGACGCTCAGGTACAGCGTACTGTAATTAATAAAAATATAGATTTTTATCAAAATTCAAATGCAGTGTACCGTGTACGTTGCGTATAGTGTTCAAATACGTTGTTGAATTAATAGTTTTTCCATTTTCTGGGTACCCATCATTAATAACCCGATTTAGTTAAATTTCTCCTAATTGTTATTAATTTGGCAGTGCGACACTGCGACGGAGAGACGCTGGTGGGTCTGTAAGTGAGCAACGACTACCGCGCCCGCGACGTAACGGCCTCGTTGACGCTGGACCAGTTGGACATTAGAGCGCATCGGACAGTGCCGTCGGCGCCGAGCCACAACATTACAATACCAGGGCATACTGATCCGGTTTCCCGGCGGCCAGATTGTTTCGCTCAGCAGCAGATACACCGGTACAAAATTAATTCATTTTAATTATTTTTAGTTCTTTGAAGGATATTTGCTGCCTGCTTATTATTAGTTGAAATTACTGTAATTATCTGTTTATTTATCAATTTGGTTGTTTTAATATTTTATTTACTATAGTTTTTGGCAAACATAGATTTTTATGTCAATCATGTTGGTTAAGTACGTATTTGGATCATAATTTATTTTCAAAAAAATTTTAATAAATTTGAAATTGCAGCGGTTATTTTTTCTCGACAGGCAGTGACTTTCATGTGGCGGCCTAGCGGCCCTTGCCTACACAGCGTGTCCAGCGTCGGCTACGCCGTCGAGATCCCAAAACCGACGCGGCCTTCCGCGGTAAGCTATTTTTGTCATTTTGTTAGCGTAGTAGTGCCAATACTGAGTCGAGCGCTTGTACGTAATCTCGTTTTTATTTCTTCTTAAAATTTTAAACACACGGGAATTATTCGAAAAATTTTTGGTTGCAGGTGCGCACGGAGTGAGTGTCAAGTGCATTTATTGTATTTCCATTTGGCCGTTTGATAAAGTCTGTCTCCATCCAGAGCCGGAATCCGCTTATTAAACATATATCTTCCGAGTGGATATTGGACACTCTAGCCTCGATTTTTAATTAAATGAACTCTTGTTTATTAACGACATGTCTGGTTTAGCTTTGAAAATTTAAATAAGGTAATTATCCTCTTGTTTAGTTCTGGAGTGTGGTGGTGTTTGTTGCCTTTATAAATTTTATTTAATTTCAAACTAAATGGAAATCCTGTTGGCACAAGCACAATGATATTGTCCTTATTACGGTGTATCTCAATAAAAACAGTGCGAGCGAGCTATCCCGTACGCAAAATCTGGGCTGTAGTAGGCTGTCACCACCCTCGTCTAGAGGCCCTTATATGCACCCGGGAGGCCCAACCGTACACCTCCAAATGGCCCGTGGAGGCCTTCCGAGGGGCATTTTCTGTAACCTTTGACCGAATAAAAGGAGGCCTCCATTCGGAGGCCTCCGCACTGGGGCAAATGGTCATAAGTAGGCCCTGTGGGGGTTAAGTGTACAGGCCGCTTTCCAGCCGTTTGGATGTCAAATTTTGCGCTGGGATCATGTCTTTCCCACTTACGGTTAGAGCCGTTACAGCACTTACCGCATGCAGTACATACTACGACTAGTAACTATCCACTATGAATCATAATTTAATTAGGTTGTGATTCATATAATTTGAAAGTTACAAGTTATTGTCATTAATTAATGACTTTTTCGACTTTGCAGCCATAGGAGACTATCGATCCCCTAGTTTCGTACTTTGTATTACAGGTGCATAGTACGACTTGTAGAAGGCGCGCACGGCGCAAGTACAATGTACGTAGGTGTTTTACAAGTTAATAATTGATTTACTTGAACGGCAAAATCACCACGGCTCATAAGATTCGCAAGAGTTTCATAATAATTTATTTTACGGGCACAAACGATAATTCTCATTACAAAAGATTTACAGGAGAATCAAAATAAATTACCAAATGCAGAGATAAATCGGAGCAGTCAATATCTTAGTAGAACGACGCCGGCGCGCAGCCGCCACCGGAAGAGGCACTATGGCACTTGCTGACCACGTGCTCCTCCGCGTACCGGATGTCGTTCATGAAATTCTGCGGCTTCTCAATGTAGTCACAGGGCGGGAGATCCACCCACTGGTTGTAGGCCATCTGGGCGCCGGTGACGCAGTAGAACTGCAGCCGGTCGTCCAGCACATCCAGGATGATCTTGTTCTCCAGCGGCGTAATGTCCTTGGGCATCTTGCGGGTCCATACAGAGACACCGGGCTGTTTGCAGTTCTGAATAGTCAGGGTGTCGCTGCCCTGGTCGAAACAGTCGGAACGGACGTAGAAGAAGTTTGGGTCCAGGTATAGTTTATAAAAGTTGCGTGGACCGCCTACGGTGACAATAAACATGCGCCTAATATAACCGCAAATGTTTACCTAATATTTTGAACGTTATATACGATGCAGGTGCAGATTACTTACACAATTAAAAGCGTTACGTTTTACACACATATTCAGCATTGCACTCAATTTGGGGGAAAATATTGCATAAGTCAATTTTCGCAGTACCTTTACTTAATACATTATGAAAAAGAACTGTCAGTTTTGCCTAATTTGGCTTATACATATACTTTGTAAAAAATCTGCAGTTATTTAATTTGACTTTTATTTCTTACCGGTTTCGCCGGTGCCCAGGCCGCCGAAATACCCGAACGCCGTGGTGTAGCCGTTGCAGCTGGTATTCTGTGTGGCGTACGACGCCCAGCAGCTGTACGGAGCGACATCCTGGCGGGAGGTGACAAACGTCGCCGATGCATACTTCGTACCGCCATTGTCATAGATCCAACCGATGGCACGGTTTTCTTCCACGGGATTGGTCAAATTGTTCAGCTGGAAGCCTTCTTTGGGACCGTACATATACTGGTACCAAACGCCCAGCACCTGCGGAATTATCAGCACTTTTAGAAGACTTCTTCATTTGTACCGGAAATGGAGCGTTACATTTATTAATTTCAAAAAGAAAATCCATACCCTTGTATCAGCAATCATTTAAAGCGTGCTATATATGATTTTACGTAATTCTTTTTCTAAATGAAATTTTAAATGTTTATATAAACGCATGTATATATAAAATATTTAGACATACATTACTATATTAATAATATTGGTATACTTCTATATATTTTAATTACGATTAAAAGTTACAAGGTAATTATAAAAATATTTTACAGCAAAATTAAAAAAGTCTTAACAATTAAACGCATCATGATAAATAAGAATAAATATATCACAATAAAAATAAACGGCGTTAAACTCGATAGATAAGACACATCATAAGATGTAGATTACCGCAACACTATCCCATGCATATCCAACAGGCGCGCTTTTCCGGCAGTTTCCTTGCGGATCCCATAAAGCCGTCACTCCGCAACTCGACACCGCCAACAACACAACAACGCATAAAAAATGCATTGTCCGGACTTATAAAATTAACAATGCAAAATTGCGGTTGCAGATGCCGGTGACTGATATCCGAAGCAAACCGTAATACAGAAATTAAAATGTCTTTTCGCGCCATTTTATGTAGACGTTCGTCTGCGGTGTGTTTTTCCGGCACCGGTGGTTTCAAGGCAACATGTCAAAATATTACGCTAAATTGTAGGAAATTAATCGCCGATTGCATCAAGCATTTGCGGCAGACAATAGGAACGCACCGATGATGTGGATGTTGTAATCTAATGTCGAATGTGGAAAGGATGGTTTATTGTTGGATGTAATAATTAGAGCTAGTTGCTTGCTTACGGGAGGCGATATATTGCACACATCGGCTATGATATAAAATGTCCTAACATGTATTGCTTCACTGTCTCTGTTCGTTACTCTCATGTAGCGTTGGTCAGCACTAATTTAATGTGTCAGGTTATTTAATTTTAATTCTGCCCGGTAGCGGAAAACGCGGTTGTACTTGTCACAATCGGTGTGGGTTGACATGTACAGTTGGGGTATTTGCCGGTAGAAATTTTTCCATTCACGCATTTCATGCAACAATGTTCACCATTCGATGGTATTTTGCAGTAAAATTTTGTTAATAATATGTCATAGTGGTCCAAAGACATGTCGGTTTTGCATACGTACAAAATCGTGATTTCCTTCGAACAGAATTACTTCACAAGGTAACCAGAAGAGTACAGTACAAATTAAGCGCGCATAATAATAAAAGCGCACAAACCGCCTCCTGTTTTATAATACAGGCTTATTTTATAAACGGCGAAAACATTCCATAATTGCGCTGTCAGCGCAACATTAGTACATTAAAATACTTGGAAAACATAGATGTATGCAGACAAATTTAAGGTTTCGATATAGGCTGATAAATACCTACGTTCATGATCAGGTGACCTTTGAGCCGTGGTACGTAAGTGCCTTTAAAAAATTTGGGAGCACCATCTGGAACACCTAATCCTTGTATCGTTGAAAAGACGTCGTAATATTGTATGTCACGTGATTCAACCAAATTTATTTCAAATAGTCGACTTAACTGCAATGTTGTCCATATATAAGCACGATCCTGATATGTACAGTACCAAGACTTTAATTTTCAGTTTCGTTATTAAAAACCGAGAACAGGGTGTACGTTAAAGCCGTTATCAAACAAACCCACTGCGAACCAACTGATTGATTTAGTGAATCATCATAAACTTCACCTGATTTACAGCGTGTACCTCCAGGCAAACATCATAAATATCACACCGTGTTACACATACCAGAACCGTGCGTAATAACACATTTGACAACACCGTATCGGGCAACGCTGGCCTTAGTGATAAGCCCTGCAAGGTGCTTATCGCATCTGTGACCGGTGAGTAATTTAATTCATAAAACTACAGAACTACACCTGATAATCGTGATTGTAGGAAACCTCACATACTTGTGATTCGTGAACAATGTCAGGCTGTAAACAGGGGAAATGATATTATTATGTTATAAAACTGTTTCATTAACCCATTAATTTTTTTCAGCTGACAAGCGCTACATTTATTTATTGCCAGTTAATTCTACAAACTAACCGCACTCAGAGCGTTATATTACTGTGTCATAGAATGACGCTTTTACAAACGCTGGGATTAATACAAATCGCGTGTGGCGTTGCGGTTTTTGTTATCGACATTGCAAGTAAGAATCCTATAACACCAATAATTATTATATATTGTACGGTGATTCTTACTGGATTTTAGTTTGCTGACTGTTATTTTATTTCCATGATTGTTTTTAACACATTAATAGTGTGATTACCATAATATTCATTGATAATTTTTATTATGTGCTCTTTATTAAAATAAAATGCAGCATAGAATACAGAGTAGTTACACTGTAATCTGTCTTTTTTAATTGAAAGAAAATTAACGCACTCTTGACTTTAGTTTCAGTTAATTCATTAGCACAATTAAATCCTTATACAGCGTAAATGATTTTGCAGATTTTGCCAGCCTTTCCTCGCACGCCATTATCGTCAGCGCCGGGGCTTCGGGAATCTGGGCCGGTACATTTTATCTCATTGCCGGCTTGTGCGGTTTTCGTGCCGGTCGCGTAATTGCCAAAGGAGAAAAATCCCCCTTTCCATCATTATATTGTTCCCTAATCCTGAGCGCGGTTTCCGCCGTGCTGGCCGTCTCCCTGGTCATCGCCTTCAGTGTGTTCCTGAGTGTGGAGGAAGAAGATCTGATCTACTGTTCCAGCCGCAACACCCAGATCCGCGACCGCTACTCCTCGGTGTGCACCTTCGCCCGCGGCAAAGTGAAGGAATTCCTACCGGCTTATCTGGTTTTCTCGCTGATAATGCTCCTTGTCTCCGTGAGTCAGTGTGTCAACGCGGCCACGAGGCTGGCCCGTTCCAAGTACACCAGTGTAAATGTTCTCTGATGCGTTTCATTTGTTCTGCTCAGGAATCATAATGTTATTCGTATGCAAAATCTCATCGGTGTCGAATTTCTGCCACTAGCTGTGCTTGTGGTTGTACGTTTGCGCCGCAGTATTGTTATTCTAAAAAGCGGGACTTCGACAAAAATTTGCACTTTTTGATTTTCTAATTGTATGCTACTGTAGTCAGTAATGCGCGGCGTTAATCGAATTACAGACTGACGAAAATAAAGAAACTGGCAGGAAATTACTATTGACTTGTTGAGTCCATACAAATATCTTATAAGAGTACATATTATGCACATACAGGTACGGCAATAATAGTTTTTATTCATAGAGCATATTATAGAGAAAACATCATACGTTCATTTCAGTTTTCATTCTGAGAATGATTATATAAATGTTAAAAACTAGGTAAAAAATGCTTATTACAATTCACATAAAAGTACAGAGTACATCTTCTCGTGTCGGGTATATAATATAGTTATCTGGGTTATAATTATGTACAGTATCTGTGGAATAGTCTAACTTCAACACGTCTACGGACGCTCGATTTGTTTTTTGTACTCGTAGTTTGTAACGTACATAGTCGTACCTACATGAGCAGACCCCAGATTTTATTCAGCTATTTTGCTGTCTGCTGTAACGCTAGAAAATGCCGCTTTTGTCACCGTGAAATTGTTATAAGATTTAAATTCAAGTAAAAAGCATTTTACTGCGGTCCGTCCTGTAATATGAATTTCCCACTACTGTTACAGGACGTCATTATAGCGTCACCCAAGTATGGAGCGCCTCACCGGCGAGCAAGTCGTCATCCTCTTGTTGCATGGATCACAAGTGAATCGGTCGGCCCACTGTTGGAAGAGAACATCGGTATGGTAAACAGGATGATATCTCCTCTGCCACTTTTGCCATCCCATCAGGCATTCCTCCTCCTGAAGAACTGCCTGGCCGTCCCTAAACTGACACATCTTCTACAAAAGCCTTCAGTTTTCCGGAAATCCAAACTACATTCGACTCTACTGTGCGCAGCAGTCTGGAAGAAATTACCAAGGTGAGCATTGTTGACGAAATCTGGGAACAAGCATCCTTACCTGTCCTGGTGGGCGGTTTGAGCACCAGACGCACCGAACGACTAACGGCTCCGGCATTCCTTGCCTCGGTCAACTTGGTACGCTCGCTGATGCCACACATGACTGACCTGTACAGCGAAGCATATGCGGCACGTGCAGAATAAGCTTGGAAGTCAATGGGGCCCGCGGAACTCATTGATTAAAATTGGCGTGCTCCGCAGCGTGCTTGGGACAGAAAGAAGCAGTATTACGTGAAACCAACTCCGTTAACCAGAAAGCCCGGCCGCTAGCTGTGTCCCAGACCGAATCAGGACTGTGGCTTAACGCGGTTCCAGTAGCAAGCCTGGGCACCTTGTTGCAAAATAATACCGAAGTGAGAATATCGATTGCGCAGCGCATCGGCGCTCCAGTATGTGTCGGACACCGGTGCAAATGCGGCAGCACCATTGATGTGTTGATGTGTGGGGATGTCCCGCAAATGCAAAGTTGAATGCAAACGTTTGAAAGCGAAAATTTCCCGTCACAACGAAGTCAGAGACGTTATCCATCGCGCGTGTGGTTCGGCCAGTATCCCTTTAGTTTTGGAACCACCTGGCCTGTACCGCGATACTTCGAAACGACCGGACGGTTTTTAAACAGTGGGTGTGTGGGGTAAAGAAGCGATACGTAAGATGTCTACACTCAGTAAGATGCTTTTTGACAGGACACTAGAGAAAAGGTCCGCTCCGCTTTCGAAGCAGAGAACCAAAGCGAGGTAATGCTGCGTGTGTTCAGGAAACGTTCTGTGTCGGTAAAAGGCAGGACAAGGTGTACTATGTGTTGAAATGTGCAACTGCGTAATTTAACCCAATAAAACTTCATCTGTTATAGGGCTGTTGTAGTACCGAAGAACATATACAGTAGTAGCAGTCTGTTATAATTTGTGGCTATGAAAATTAATATAAATCATAACTTGATGACTTTCGACTTTGCCATAGCGAAACTATCGCCCCATGTTTCACATTTTGTGTCTCAGGGTATACTATATATATATGCATTCGTCAATCTAGAAGACGGCACACGTACATATTATATACGTACAAGCGTAGTTAATAATAAGTAAGCGGTAAAATCGTCCCGGACCCTCACCGTATAATAATTTATTGTGCGTGGCAACAAATTATAAAAATCTCGTTACAAAAGATTCTCAGGGAAATCAAAATAAATTAGGGGATGCAGAGCCGAATCGATCACCACACTAAGTTAATAGAAGGAAGCCGGCGAGCACCCGCCACCGGAAGCGGCACTATGGCACTTGCTGACCACATGCTCTTCCGCATACCGGAGGTCGTTCATGAAGCTCTGCGGCTTCTCAATGAAGTCACAAGGCGGCAGATCAAGCCACTGGTTGTATGCCATCTGGGAGCTGGTGACGCAGTACAACTGCAGCCGGTCATCAAGCACGTCCAGAATGATCTTGTTCTCCAGCGGCGTGATGTCCTTGGGCATCTTGCGGGTCCACACCGCGACGCCGGGTTGTTGGCAGTTCGGGGTGGTATGGGTGTCGCTGCCTTCGTCGAAACAATAGACGCGCACGTAGAGGAAGTTGGGGTCCAGGTACAACTTATAAAAGTTGCGTGGACCGCCTGAGGTTACAGTAAACATGCGCGTATTACAATTATTATAACCGCAAATGCATTATATACGAGTACATTGTACAGATCTAGAACTCTTATATTGCAGATTACACAATCATAAGCAATACGTTTATATGTAAACGTAAACTGTACAGTTTAAACTCAAATACAAAAGCTGCTGTACAAAATCATTTACATAACTGTAGAACACACCAGTGTTGCACTTGATTTTTTAAAGATATTGTTAGGATTGGAAATGTATTACGTGTGCGTAATCAGTAGCTGATCTATGAGTGTACAATCTTCATAGCTGATCAGTGAGTGTAACGTCCACTCAGTACACCTATCCCTAATGATGATCAGACTTCTGGGAGAAGTGCTGACTAATGTATGACTGTTATGTTACCAACTGTGGTATATAAGCGAGTGTTGTACAGAACATCTATGAACATCTTGTGGACATCACTGAATGAACAACTGCGGAAGTATCTGAGTTGGTTCGTTAGTACAGTTAGTACGGTAGTCAGTTATCACCTTCCTACAGACCACTATTTAATTTTTCAAGAGATATTGCCTAATTAAATTTTTCGCAGTGGATTTTCTAATTTCCATTATTTAAACTGAATTGTCACAACTACACATCGGCATATTTGGTTTATATGGCTTAATAAAGTTTTATACGAGTACCAAGATTCCAAGACCTACTACAGATATACAAATATCTGTACTTTGATCTGTCTGTATCTGTCTGTATATCTATATATCTGTCTGTATATCTACAGATATACAAATATCTGTATTTCTTACCGGTTTCGCCAGTGCCCAGCCCGCCGAAATATCCGAACGTTGTGGCCAATCCGTTGCAGCTGGTGTTCTGCGTGGAGTACGACGCCCAGCAGCTATGCGGAGCGACATCTTGGCGGGCAGTGGTGAACGTTGCCGAGGCGTACTTCGTACCGCCACTGTCATAGATCCAGCCGATGGGCCGGTTGTTTTCCACAGGATTGGTCAGATCTTTCAGTTGGAAACCTTCTTTAGGACCGTACATATACTGGTACCAAACGCCTAATACCTGCATATTATTAGTTATTTTAAGAGATTTCTTCATCAACCGGAAATAAAGCGTAATCTGCATTACTGTACTTTCCTAAAAGGAAACTATAGTGTATATTGATCGGTATATCCTTGTATCAGCAACTGTTGGTATTGTATATTAGCACTATAAGAATCCATCTAAATATAGACATACATGTTACTCAAATGTCACCCACGTATATCTGTACAGATACGAGTACAGCGAATGTACGAAAAATATTTCGGAGTAAATTTGTGAGATACTTATTATTTTTCAATAAAATCAAAGTAGCCCAAAAAACATGCACATCATAATAAAATAAAAATAAATAGATTTGAAGTGTCATAAATTAGCTACTGTACCGCAGTGCCATCCCATGCATATCCAACTGGCGCGCTTTTCCGGCAGTTGCCTTGCGGATCCCATAACGCCCGCACCCCGCAACTCGACACCGCCAACAACACAACAACGCATAAAAAATGCATTGTCCGGGCTTTTAAAATTAACAATGCAAAATTGCGGTTGCCGCTGCCGGTGACTGTCACTGACTGCTAAGCGAAATAAATCAGAATACAGAAGTTAAAATGTCTCTTCGCGCCATTTTATGCTGGCGTTCGTCGGCGGTGTTTTTCGGCATGTGTGGTTTCAAGGCATCATGTCAAAATATTACGCTAAAATGAAGGAAATTGATCGCCGATTGCGTTAAACCTTTCCGTCAGACGATAGGAACGCATCGGTGACGTGAATGTTATAATTTAATGTCGAATGTAGAAAAGATGGTTTATATTGTTGGTGTAGTAATAACAATAATTACAGTTAGTTGCTCATATACGGGAGTCGATATATTGCACACATCGGCTATGATAGGAAATGTCCTAACATTATTACTAGTACGGTACAAGAGCAGAAACCCCAAAGGGACTTCAAGTCCGGTCGAACATGTGTTGCTTTACTGTTTCTGTTCGTTACTCTCATGTAGTACCCGTAACTTCTGTTCCAAAGCCATTAGAATAGACCATGGTCTATTCTAATGGCGTTGTCTGTTCGTTGTTTCTGTTCGTTACTCTCCTGTAGTAGAGGCCAGTAGCTTAGCTTGTACTAAGTACTTCAAAGTAGTTCTGTAGAGCGGCAATGGATACACTTACCAGAACAGTGCGTAATAACACTTTTGACAACACCGTATCGGCCAACACTGGGCTTATTGATAAACCTTGCCAGGAGCTTATCGCATCTGTGAGTCTGTGACCGGTGAGTAAGTTTTTGTTAATTTAAGTTAATTTAATTCATCAAACTACAGAACTACACCTGATAACCCTGATTGTAGGAAACCTCACATACTGTACGTACTTGTGATTTGTGAACAATGTCAAGATGTAAACAAAGGGAATTTTATGTTACTGTAAATTAAAAATACAATTCCACCATATATCTGAATAATGAATATGCGCTTGTACGGCAGAATTTCAAAATTTTCTTACAGAGATAGGCCCAACCAAGCCTGTTTAAAAATGGTACCAATCTTTAAAGTGTATGTATTCGGCATTTTGCATGTATGACCTTGGCATAAAGGGGCTGGATAAAATGAGAAAAATTTTTTCTGTTTTTTTCCGCGTTTTGTTTTCTAATATGTTTGCATTGTGATTGATCTGACCAATAAAAATCCTGAGGGATCTTGACCCCATCATCCTCCTTGTGCTACCACCTTGCGGTTTCCGTTCACACATAAACTGTGTAACACAACGAATACAATACCCGCCTGAGCATCCCATAATTATAGGAGCAAATACAAGCATGACCTTTTCTTAATTGTTTGTGCGTGGAATATTGCAATATTCCACGCCGCGCTCTAGCAGTGTATGTGTCTTTATCTTTATCTTTATCTTTATATTCATACAATCTTACCGACCAAAACGTATTTATGCGCCGTTTTTATGGACTCGTCAACGCGTGGTTAGTTTTCGTCCAGCTTGGTCTTAAAAAATTCCATATTTTCCATAGGTTTGCCAATAGATTTTTGTTTTTTTTTATTAACCAGTGGTCAGAAGATGGTTTCACCAGGTCTTAAGTAAGGGAAACGTAAAGAGCACTAAAAGAAGTACTCACTCCACGGCAATAAAAAGTACTTACTGTACTATAATTGGCTGTAACCACGCTGTAACCACGGAAACTATAGCGGATGCATACTTAAATACTTGCTCTTTAGGTAAAATATGTATATTACGTCATGCAAAAGTCCGTACGTATTTCAGGTACGTATTTCAGAGCGTCAAAACGTTAGAAATTCAAAACGTCAGAACGTCAGAATTTCAGAACGCCAGAACGTAACAACGTCAGAACGTCAAAACGCCAGAACGTCAGAACGTCAGAACGCCAGAACGTCAGAACGTTAGAACGTCAGAACGTTAGGACATCAGAACGTTAGAACGTAACACCGTAAGAACGCTGGACGTCATAACGTAAGAACGTCATAAAGTAAGAACGCTAGAACGTCAGAACGTGAGAACGTTAGAACGCCAGAATGTAACAACGTCAGAACGTCAAAACGTTAGAACGAACAGAACTTTGACGTTCTGACGTAAGAACGTCATAAAGTAAGAACATCAGAACGTCAGAACGTAACAACGTCAGAACGTTAGGACGTTAAGAACGCCAGAACGTAACAACGTCAGAACGTCAAAACGTTCAGAACTTCAGAACGCCAGAACATCAAAACGTCAGAACGTCATAAAGTAAGAACATCAGAACGTCAGAACGTGAGAACGTCAGAACGCCAGAACGTCAAAACGTAAGAACGTCATAAAATAAGAGCATCAGAACGTTAGAACGTAAGAACGTCAGAACGTCATAAAATAAGAGCATCAGAACGTCAGAACGTAAGAACGTCATAACGTCATAACGTTAGAACCTCAGAAAATCAGAATCTTCATAACGTGAAAAATTAAAATTGTCAGAACTTCTGAAATTCCGAACGTCAGCCTTTGCATATTTATAATGACCTTTCCAAAACAAAGCCAATACTATCCAGTACTTAAGTGCCGAGCGCGGATGCGCGAGGCTACCTTGTATTCATACAAGCTTAAAGACCAAAGCGTATTTATGCGCCGTTTTTAACTCCTCGATAACTCGTGGTCAGTTTAAGTCCAGCTTGGTCTTAAAAAATTCCATATTTTCCATAGGTGTGCCAATAGATTTTTGTTTGTTTTTAATAACCAGTGGTCAGAAGATGGTTTCACCAGGTCTTAAGTATAGGAAACATAAAGAGCACTTAAAAAAGTATTCACTGAGCAGCAATAATAAAAAGTGCTTTAAAACATAATGACTGTAACCACGGAGACTATAGCAGATGCATAACTACTATGTATATTATTACGTCATGCAAAACAGCAAAGGCCATACGTATTTCAGAGCGTCAAAGCGTCAGAAATTCAAAACGTAAGAACGTAACACCGTCAGAGCGTCAGAATGTCATAAAGTAAGAACATCAGAACGTTAGAACGTTAGAACGTCAGAACGTCAGAACGTCAGAACGTCACAACGTCACAACGTCACAACGTCACAACGTCACAACGTCACAACGTCACAACGTCACAACGTCACAACGTCACAACGTCACAACGTCACAACGTCACAACGTCACAACGTCACAACGTCACAACGTCACAACGTCACAACGTCACAACGTCACAACGTCACAACGTCACAACGTCACAACGTCACAACGTCACAACGTCACAACGTCACAACGTCACAACGTCACAACGTCACAACGTCACAACGTCACAACGTCACAACGTCACAACGTCACAACGTCACAACGTCACAACGTCACAACGTCACAACGTCACAACGTCACAACGTCACAACGTCACAATGTCAGAACGTCAGAACGTCAGAACGTCAGAACGTCATAACGTCAGAACGTCAGAACGTCAGAACGTCAGAACGTCTTAAAGTACGAACATCAGAACGTTAGAACGTCAGAACGTCATAAAGTAAGAACATCAGAACGTTAGGACGTCATAACGTCAGAACGTTAGAATGTCAGACTGCCAGAACGTGAAAAATTAAAATTGTCAGAACGTCAGAAATTCCGAACGTCAGCCTTTACATATTTATAATGACCTTTCCAAAGCAAAGCCAATACTATCCAGTACTTAAGTGCCGAGCGCGGATGCGCGAGGCTACTATGTTATTCATACAATCTTACCGACCAAAACGTATTTGTGCGCCGTTTTTATAGACTCGTCAACGCGTGGTCAGTTTTAGTCCAGCTTGGTCTTAAAAAATTCCATATTTTCCATAGGTTTGCCAATAGATTTTTGTTTTTTTTTTATTAACCAGTGGTCAGAAGATGGTTTTACCACGTTTTAAGTTTAGGAAACGTAAAGAGCACTCGAAGACGTATTCCTGCACAGCGATAAAAAGTACTTAACATAATGACGGTAACCACGGATACTATAGCGGATGCATATCGTTCGTGCTTTTTAGTGTAGATGATAATTATTGTGTGAATAGTACGTAAATTTACCTAATTTGGAAAACGTCCATAAAAGATACAGTATAGCGCACCTTATGTCGCATATACAGTACTTATCTCAGTTATCTGCATACGTCAAAACGTAAAAATATCAGAAGATGAGAACGTTAGAAAACAGAATGTCAGCTAATCAGAACGCAAAAAATTAAGAACGTCAGAATGTCTCAGAACATCAAAACGTCAGAATATCAGAAGTCAAAACGTGAAAAATTTAAAAGGTTAGAACGTCGGAAATTCAGAACGTCTGAACATCAAAACGTCAGAATACCATAAGTCAGAACGTGAAAAATTTAAAAGGACAGAACGTCAGAAATTCAGAACATCAAAACGTCAGAACGTAAGAATATTAGAAGTCAGAACGTGAAAAATTTGAAAGGTTAGAACGTCAGAAATTTTGAACGTCTCAACGTCAGAACATCAGAACGTCAAAACGTGAAAATTCAGAAACGTCAGAATATCAGAATGTCAGAAATCAGAACGTCAGATCATCAGAACGTGAAACGTTTTAAACGTCAGAACATCAGAAATTCAGAAGGTCGGAACATGAGAACGTCAGAACGTGAAAAATTAAGATTGTTTAAACGTCAATACGTCTTATAAAATACGACTACGAAAGCCTATATATATACGATTAAAATCATAGTCTTAAAAAACTTTTCTTCTATAATTCTGGCTTTTTTATATTTTTAGTGACCTTTCCAAATAAAGCTAATACTCTCCAGTACATACGTGCCGAGCGCGGATGCGCGAGGCTACCTTGTAATTGTATAACGCAAAGTTTAAGTAACCATTATTTTGATCAGTACAGTAATTGTATAGCCAAGTACCATGCTGAAATATTTACATGCATCATCTCGAACTGTCGCTTTGGTAAATGCGCTAACGCAGCGCTACCCCAGAGCCAAGCGGGCGACATATAGCTCGCATGGGGCATGCGTGTACGTGCTGTACCTTTCTGTTTACCTTTGCCAACGTTGTTCGATAATTCAAGGTTGGCCCACAAGAGGCCGTGAAATAAAACGCTTATTCGGATAAATGCGATTGCATAAGCCCGTGTCACTGGATAATGCATACTTCTTGTGCAGCCTGCACTGTATAATTCGTCGGTAAACGGTAAAGGCTACGTTAACAACGCAAAGCGCTCAAGTTATGAGCCAGCCCGGCCGGGTATTTGCCGGTGAAAATGGAGTTTAGACTGACGCATACAACAATTTTAGCGCGAAAACCAACACCTGTTATCAGGTGCGCAAGCGCCGGTCAAATTTACATTTGATCTGACTACATGCTGTTCGCACATTTTTGCAGAATAACATACAAACGCACGGCCGCGATCAAATAAATCAGGCAAACATCCTTAGAGCGCTGCTTATTAAAAGCCATTAGCCAAAGAAATCCAGAATCTGAGCTATGCAGGCTGTATAACAAAATTATTACGTACGTTAAAGTAATTTGTGTTTAAAATGGCTGTTCGCGTGGATGGCTCCGGCTTGAGCCATAGGTTACCTTTAATGATTTTCGGCACGCTACAATTGTTAAGCGGATTAGGACTAATCATTTTGGATATTGTCAGTAAGCACTGATCTGACTTTTTAGTTTTTACTGGGATTATAGGCTTTGATTGTGTTTACCAGATTCTATTTTTTCCTAAAAACAGTATCGATTGTCTGAGAACCTCTTAAGAACACTGAAATATTTTGTAGCTTTAATCCAGCAATGGAATGAGATTTTAAATTTCGCGATCAGAATAACATGGATAACTGTAAAATTACCGAAGCTGCGAAGCATAATAAGAATATTTTTTCTTAAAATGCTTGACATACTTATTCTTCATATTATAATTACACAACATGTATATATATCCGAGAAAATTCCGTTCAAGATGTAATTAAAAATTTTGCAGCATTCTCTCTTCTGGGATGGTGGGGCGTGTTCATCAGTGCCGGTGCATCGGGAATCTGGGCCGGTATCTTCTATCTAATCACCGGTATCTTCGGAGCCTACGGCAGCCGCGCCCTGCGTGCCGGTGAGCACGCCGAGAGCCGTCGCTGTCTCCTGATCACGGCCCTCATCCTCAGCATCCTGGCCACCCTGGGCTCCTTCGTGCTGATGGCCACCTTTGCCGCGTTCCTCTCCTTCAACATCCAGTGGTTCTTTGACTGCGAAAGCCCCACGACACTGTGCCCGGATGTGGCCACCTACGCCCAGCCGCTACTTTCGGCGTATCTGGCCTTCACCCTGATCGTCCTGGTGTCGTCCGTCATGGTGTGCATCTTCGCCGGGTTAAATCTGAGCAACATCAAATCCAAAGCCAAGACTACCACCGTGACCTATGTGACGACGACAGTGCCGGCCGCGATTCCCGCACAGGTGGTGTATCCCCAGACGGTCACCGTGTATCCTCCGCTGGCACCAAGTCCTCAGAAATAAAACTGCAGTGCTTTAAATAATCATATTACAGTTTTACAGAAGAGATGTGCAGTTGCGTTATGTCTGAGAGCGCTCTGCCATTAACAGAAAAATAAATGGCTTAAGGTTCAACTGAAAGCATTAGTATCATTACGACAGATGTTGTCACGATATCAGCATCACATTTTGATCGTTATACTGTTCACTAAAGCGGTATGTGGTTTGACATTGTCGTTTTGACATTGTTTTGACATTGTAGGGGTTAGATTTATGGAAAAGAGTGTCAGAGACCCGGTACAGACATTGTACCAGTGTCCGACCGCCGGTCATCGTCATCCACTTTTGTGCACATACCTGTGTGCAACTGAATAACCTTCTCCCATTCTGGGTCAAATTACAATTCCAATTTAAGCACTGCTAGTGCTAGCCAAAAACGAAGTGGCTACCTTGCCGCCGTTTTTGCGACAACGTAAACTTTAACTGCTGATCCACACATTACGGTCCGCCACTTTTGACTATTCCACTTCGCACAGCGCCACAATAGCCTTCGGCTATTTTTGTCGTTTCTTAGTGTTCATAGGTATTCTTAGGTTTCTGAAAGGCTAGGATGCGATAAAATAGAAGGCTATTCTGCCGGCAGAAATACAGAGAGAGTAACTGATGCTGTTCAGATGCACTTAAAGATACTGCGGGAGAATAACCAGGATATTCAAGATAGCAGAACGATTCTTTCTCACGGTTTTGAGGAACGATGCAATTTGACGCCGTTGAAATTCTGGTAGCACCAGTAATTAGGCATACGTACATAAGTACTTTGCTCATTAAAACGTGCTCATTATTGTAACTCATGGATATGGTGCAAACTGCGTGCAAACTGCCAGGTAGCACGTTCCCATGTTGTGCACTTCGAAACTGCAGCGTTGCAGCTGACATCACTTAGTTCGATGAGTGGCTATAGAACTGACGAAAAAATTAGCCTGGAATTGTGGACACGTTCTTAAGGACTGTCGTGAACGGGCGAATCCAGGACATTTTTAATGTATCCAGCTGCATTGCAAAACCTGCTGCAAATGCAACTTCATCAACAGGCTTCGCGCTTCATAAATGCAAAATTAGCAACTTTTCATAAGTGGCTGCTAAACACATCCGGTTAAACGACGTGACTGCCAACTTCCCATACGGGCGATATAAAAGAAGTCAGAGATGACAATTTGAATCGTATCAGTCACCTTGGTTCTTCCCAACTGAATTCTTTTTTTATTCCACCAAAAGTCTTCTAACATAATATATTATCAGAATGAAGTCAGCCCTTGTCTTCCTGGCCGCGGCCGGTAAGTCAGTATAGTAGTACACTGTACTCGTACTATTATTTATATACTGTATATATCGCACCTAAAAACTGTACTTCTACGAGTATACTAAAAACTGGCTGCTTCATGTACGAGTATTAAAGGGTTAAGAAGATGCTAATCGAACTTTCTAGGTCTTGTTGCCGTGATGAATGCCCTTCCGTTCGGGTTTGGACCTCCCCCGCCAGGGGGCCCTGGTGGTCAGCAAGGCGGTCAACAATTTGGCCAAGGTGGTCAACAATTTGGCCAAGGTGGTCAACAAGGCCAACAAGGCGGTCAGCAAGGACCTCCTCAACAACAATACGGCCAAGGTGGTCAACAAAGCCAACAAGGATTTCCCCAACAGCAGTTCGGCCAAGGTGGTCAACAAGGCCAACAAGGACCTCCCCAGCAACAGTTCGGTCAAGGTGGTCAACAAGGCCAACAAGGACCTCCCCAACAACAATTCGGCCAAGGACAGCAAGGCGGTCAACAAGGTAGCCAATACGGACCTCCCCAACAAGGCGGTCAGCAATACGGCGGTCAACAGCAACAACAAGGGCCTCCCCAACAAGGCGGCCAACAGCAACAACAAGGACCACCTCAACAAGGTGGTCAACAACAAGGTGGCCAACAACAAGGTGGTCAACAAGGACCTCCCCAACAAGGCGGTCAACAAGGACCTCCCCAACAAGGCGGTCAACAAGGTGGTCAACAAGGCGGTCAACAAGGACCTCCCCAACAAGGTGGTCAACAAGGACAGCAAGGCGGTCAGCAAGGACCTCCCCAACAAGGTGGTCAACAAGGACAGCAAGGCGGTCAGCAAGGACCTCCCCAACAAGGTGGTCAACAAGGCGGTCAACAAGGACCTCCCCAACAAGGTGGTCAACAAGGACAGCAAGGCGGTCAGCAAGGACCTCCCCAACAAGGTGGTCAACAAGGACAGCAAGGCGGTCAGCAAGGACCTCCCCAACAAGGTGGTCAACAAGGACAGCAAGGCGGTCAACAAGGACCTCCCCAACAAGGTGGTCAACAAGGACAGCAAGGCGGTCAGCAAGGACCTCCCCAACAAGGTGGTCAACAAGGACAGCAAGGCGGTCAGCAAGGACCTCCCCAACAAGGTGGTCAACAAGGCGGTCAACAAGGACCTCCCCAACAAGGTGGTCAACAAGGACAGCAAGGCGGTCAGCAAGGACCTCCCCAACAAGGTGGTCAACAAGGACAGCAAGGCGGTCAGCAAGGACCTCCCCAACAAGGTGGTCAACAAGGCGGTCAACAAGGACCTCCCCAACAAGGTGGTCAACAAGGACAGCAAGGCGGTCAGCAAGGACCTCCCCAACAAGGTGGTCAACAAGGACAGCAAGGCGGTCAGCAAGGACCTCCCCAACAAGGTGGTCAACAAGGACAGCAAGGCGGTCAGCAAGGACCTCCCCAACAAGGTGGTCAACAAGGACAGCAAGGCGGTCAGCAAGGACCTCCCCAACAAGGTGGCCAGCAAGGTCAGGGACAAGGACAGCAAGGGCAACAAAGTCAAGGACAGCAACGCCCTATGCAGTTTTAGATTACTGCGTCTTTTATTCGCATCTTTGCCGTTAGATTTTCTAAACTTTGTTAGGATATTGGTAAAATCATCGGCAAACTTTAAAAATGTAAGGCAATTTTTGCCGTTGGGATCGTTGAAAACACTTTAAAATGAGACCATTAAACTGCACAAGTTAAACATTAACAAATTTCAAGGAGCATTTCACTATTCGCAACATTACATGCTCTGGAAGTTTATATGGTTCAACGTTTGACCCATTCGAAACAATACAGCCACGAGCTTCCTATAAAAGTACAAGATTCGAAACTGATTACAGTCTCAGCCGACTATGGAAAAAGGCGGTCTAATCACACAGAACATTTCGTCCAAATTAGCCGATGCTGGTGCTGTTGCCATGGCTAAGGCCGCATTTCCGCGTTGCATTTCGATTCGGATCCGCTGGCGGAGATATTCCGTCGCCGTACCTCCTGGTATATCATCTTCCCGACTTCGGTGACCAAGCGAGAGGCGTCCGGTCCGGGTAGTCCGAGTGCTTCGACGCCTACTGCACGGGACCTGTGTACTTACTCTTGCGTGATTTCCCGATACTTTGCTACATTATACTGCTCTGCGTCGCGGAAGCCCCTGCTTGTTTCGATGTTACCGCGGTGTGCGATAAATCTACCGTGCACACACATGTGGCGTCAACATTTTTTCCATTACCCACAGGGCCGACGTTACTCCGTCGGGGCGCTTGCCGTAGGTTCGGGATATATCAGGCGGCTTCGATTCCGTTTTAATACCGGTTGAAGCGAAGGCACGCTTTAAAGTGACATTGATGCAAATACGTCTGGGCTTCCGGCCGGGATTTTTGGAACTGAGGAGCCATGGATCCCCAGGGGGGATCAGCTGCCGCCAGCATAGTCTCCACCGAGCCTCGGATGACTGGTTTGTCCCAAATAATCTGCTGTTTTCGGGTTACGAAAGTCAGGAGCTGAGCTTCGCTGGTTCGGTGCCATTCTTTTAAGGTGCCGCAACACTACACCTCCGAGTCGAAATCCCCTATCTCGCTAGTCAGTGTAGCCCCTGAGTAAGTCGAGGCGAAAAAGTTTAGATGCCACATTTACTGGATATGCAAGAACGAATGCTGACGGACTAGCTCCGCTGATCTTAATTATTCCATCGGCGCCGCAACGTCTCGACAAGATATATTGTAGAAGAAGAAGAAGAATTTATTGTCCCCAGATCACACAGCCTGATGGAGACATCTTACTGATGTCACAGTTATTAACAGTGCTGAGATAAAATTACTTAAAAAAACCATAAAGTCCAGTTAGGATAAAACAAAATAACAGCAAGTGTTGACTGGCAAGAGAGAAACAATGAGATGTATTATTCAAGAGGTGGCAGTAGGTTTCGGTGGCCATGATGCACTTTACGAGCATCTTTGAGAACACAATGTACAAATTTAACTAAAAAAAACAATAACAGTGTTCTGCCTTAGAACATCAATGAAAAGATCATTCAGTGTCGCGTATTCCGGTTGCACCTTTTCGATGCTGGGCAATGCACTTTGGCGATGAAATTCCAAAGCCGGACAGTGAAATAGGCTGTGGTCTTCCGTGTCCACTGTTTCGCAAAAAGCACAAAGTCTTTCATCGTGTTGGAATCCCTTGCCATCTTCCTGTTTCTACTCGGAAATGATGGCCCGATGTCAGTAGTGCGAATAGCGTCTTCAGAAGATAGGTAGGCAGTGGAAGATATGTTATCGCTACGGGTTGCGTTGGGTACACCTGAAATAAAAACAACAACCGACCGGTACCGCTTCGAGCGGCATTAGCTCACAGCCTCACACGCGTTCGGCGAGATTTTCTCGGAATTCATTTCTTATTACCGATAGTATTTTCTCAACGTTCATGTAATACAATGTTCCCATGAAATTTTCTGGTGATTCCCATGAAAAATCGGGAACATCTGACAAAAACTTTGTAGTGAATACACAGCTACACGTAACAACTCGTACAAGTAGCTATGTAGATGACCATTTGCTAATGTGGAAAGGTAACAAGCTAGTATGGAAGTAGTGGTATCAGCCAACAGTAGCACAAGACTTAGTAAACAAGTACCTGCAAGAAGTTGTAGGTACGAAACAGTAGAAAAAGTGCGTCCCAGAAACCTACAAGTACATGGTAACCCATTTACAGGTCGGTATGTTCACATGCATGATTTAAATTTAAGTCATGCATGTGAATCTCATCAGAGGCTAATTTCCTTTAAAGGAAATTAGCCTCTGATGAGAGTTTTACTACACTGCTTTAGAATCGTAGTGATTCACCTCCATAGAGTTCCCAAACGGGACATTACGCACACAGACGGTATTCATGTGCATTAACGAATTGCACGCTATACTACAAAACGTCAAAAAAATTCAGCAAATGGTTCGGAGTACGCGAAGCGAAACTTCTCGTTCATGTATACGTCCGCATGTATCTATTTGCTACCATGTACCGGATCACTTCGCCTACGTAAACTTATTAACTCGGCAGCGTCTGCTAGGTGAAAAAAGCACCAGTAAAGTTCGCCAATTTTTGCAAAATTAGCACAATTGTTATCAACACAACAAAATATTCATTAGATAAAGCGAAGATGGCTCTTTCCACACAGTATTTTAGTTTTTTGTTAAAACACACCAGAAAAAAACCATACTGCTTAAAAAACGTTGCAAAATTATCGAAAAGTTCTACGAAGTGAAACTGAATCGTATGTAATGCGAAAAAATTGAAATTTAATCAGTCGTAACGTTGTATCCACATGATAGAGTTCCACCAGTTTGAACAATTACTTTTTTTGTGGAGAACGTTCAGAGAATTTTTGAAAACCATAGGTGAAAATTGCACCACTTGGGCATTGAAGGAGAACGGTAACGGCTGCCTGTACAGACAGAATAACCAGCTCCGCTCAATTCGTGTTATCTGGCGGCTGCCCGCTGGTCAAAGCTATGCCGATCCCAGCTGACTCGTGTAAAACTAATTAACGCAATCAAAGCAGGCTAGGTAAGATTCACATAATCATAATCATAAAACATAACACATAAAACATAAACATAAAACATAATTCATAAGCATAAGCATAAACATAACTCATAAATATAACGTTGCTCATAAAATCTACTCATAAATCACCATCTCCGGTTTATTTTCCGTAATTAAGTATTCTACTTAAAATAAAATTAAGATTTTTTTTCTACTAGCATGCGGTTTCGTTAACGTGTTGTTTTATCGTGCACACTGTGCACGATAAAAAATGTTGCACCTTGACCATAAAACAGGCAATACAGCGCTAGTGAGATTTTACTGATTGTGTTTTTTTATAACGCTGTGCATTGTAATCGAGGTGAACAAATTATGTTAAACTTCAGGAATATGTCACAGATGCAGCTGAAGCATTTTACGAGTTCAGACAAGTTCTACTACGAAGTCCCGGGCGTCCTGGATTTGGTTTGCAGCTTCTTGAAACGTTATAGCACCAATGCTTACAGCAGGATAAGCTTTGATCGCGCTTTTAAGGTACTCTTGCACTGATTCGTAACGCTGGTCATGGCATTCGAATTCAGTCTGCATTTCGTGAAGGCGATCTGTGTAGCGCGTAAAATTTTCATGGCGTAACCACAGTTTATCCAGTTTTTCTCGCCCCCAGTAAATATTGAACAATCCGCGATAGCAGTCTCCGTACGTGTTTGCACGTTTTGTTGCATTCTTATTTCTTCCGGTTTTCGCTCTTTTAATGTGCCCGATGTCCGCTCTTTCGCTTTCGGTCGAGTGGGGCTAGTGACAAACTGCGGCTAGTGACATCTCTGCATGTTGGTTGCAATGAGCACAGGCTTGCTGTTTGACTGGCTTTCTCCAGCTCCTGAATCCTATTCTCCACTTCTTGTGAAAACTCTTTCAAGACTTTCTGCAGTTCCCGCAAATTTATCAGCATATCTCCATCAAGCTGTATGAGGTTTCGGTGAAAATTGCCCATTAATTCATGTACAGCGCCCTGGTCAGCATTAATAACAAGTGAGCATTAGCAAGTTGACCTTTAAATTCTTTCTTACAAGAACCAATTCATTTTACCATGCGTATCTGATCTGCAGTTGATAATGACTCCAAAAAATCTGTAGCAGAATTATAGTTGGTGAAATTACTGGGGGACTGGGCTGCAGCACGATGAAAATCTTTTAAGTACCGCAAAAAAACATTTGGCTCTTCCAACGCAATTCTGGGCATTTTGTATAAAGATTTTTAGTACCACATTAACATCGCATACATCTTGCGTGATGCAGTCGATAGTTACACAAAATGGAAGAACGGTAGTTTTATTGATTAATACTTGTACCAGCAAGCTACCACGGTAACTACGATGCAATACTATGGTTGTACAGAAACACGTCTTAATTATGTATGCTAAACATTCACTGAACATGAATATTAAGCAGTAAGCACAGGTTAAATGTAAGACAGTACTCATACAAGCAGAATAAAAGCATCAGTACAAAGATATATTATTACGAACAACAAAAAATACAAAATCGAAAAGCATGGAAGCTGGTATGGAGTTGCTCTTGTACGCTAACATGAATATGATGTGCCCAAAAAGAAGTTACACTGACAGTGTTTTTTTATGCAAAGGATATTAATGCAAAATATAAACTCGACGCTATTTAGCTGACGAGTTTAATACACATACTCACAAAGCAGCAAAAAATTCGGCAATTTCCTGCAACTCAACTTGCGAAAACAAAACTGCTTTGTCCATTTGGCACTGTTTCGGAGAGAATTTTGGATGGCGATCTCGCACACAAGCCACCAACATACAGTATCTTCGTTTTCGCGGTGCACTGATTATGGACTTCCCTCCCGTTCCATTCTGGTAGTCAAACTCCTCTCTCGCGATGAATAACTGTGAGCCTTTTCTATTTCTCAGTATAATTTTACAGCCCGGGCAGCAACATAAAGCGTGGACCTGCTCTTCTTTCGAAATAACGAATGGACTCGCTCCTTGCTGCCACGGCTTTAGTGGTTTTGGAGCGGTCTTGCAACAGGGACAACGCTCTGAAACGGTACCATGCCGCAAATGTATTCACTGGATATGAATAATCTTAAAACAAGTAATTTACCAACTGTTTACCTGGAGAAGAGTTACGAAGAGGCTCAGCCACAACAATTTGGTTTAACAAGTCTGCCTGCGGATGGTCAACATTAAAACCAGCTGAACCTGTCGACGGCAGTTGGCTTAAGTTATCCCGGGTAGTGTAACCTCGACCAGTCCTCTTGGTCTTCTGCCCTATCTTCTTTCCACCTCCCGAAACCGTAGGAAAACGTAAGGGTTCTAAAATATCCCTCCGCTTTACGAAATCAGCCAGGCACACAATCAACCCATTCATAGCAGTTGTTGCGATTACGTGTTTGCATAGCCGGTTTTGATTGGTATTCGACCACGGACAGCGGCATTCAAACTTCCCGGTCACTGAATCGATGGAAACATGGTACTGCTGCATGAAATCGGCTTCGGATAAAACTCCAAAGTGCTGGATAGATCCGTCGCTAGCTGTTTTCGAAGTCGGCCACTTCACAATCTTCTCCGGATGCGTGATATAATGACCTGCTTTTACAAACTCTGGTCGATGGTGAACTTGAAAGCCATGTTGCTGATGATTGTGCGACGTTTCACCGCCAGACATTTCACAACCAGACATTTCACCGAGTAACAATTCACCGCAGTAACGATTCAGATCCCGGACAATTCGCCGACACAACATTTCAAAACCGTAACATTTCATATCCGCAACGTTTCGAAACCGCAACTTTTCATGATAGTAACATTTCTCAACCTTCTCTCTGGTACGCACAATCCGGGTACGACGATCTGCCCTATACTGAATGGCGTACAGTAGCTCAATGTTTTAGATTTGCTTCGAATTCGGATTTAAGCCGGATGCAGGCCAAGTATTTTGAAATTGCTGCAGTCGGCATCGGCATACATTTTTCGATCTAGATGCGCAGGTATAATTACTTTTGACAATCTTTCAAAACAAATTAGCGGCAAGAGAGAAACCGGAGGCGCAGGGCCTGGAGGCGCAGAGAATGTTCGGTCTTGACTGAGCGCTTAATGCGCTTTGCTGTGGTTTACCATGAAATTTACTTCTATGGAATATTAATTTGGTAAACATCAGTAGAAACTTGCAGGTGTCCGAAAAAAATTGCCTGGACGTCGAGTAGCGGTATCGAAAACCATGATGTTGTTTCTTCGGTTTAAAGTTTTTATTAATATCTTAGAATAACGATTGATAAGTGTCGGTAAAAGATTTTGATGTAACTAAATAACTTTGATACAACTGATACATAGATGTAAGTCGTATAACTGATTTCGATATCTATATAACTAAATAACTTTGATATAACTGAATGTACTAATTTAACGCTGAGGCGAAGTATAATAACACTAAATAGACGTATTGCATGATTTTAAATGATTGTTATGATTGTAAATTTGTAATAATTTACCCATGCCAGTTATGCCAACGCAATGGTGTGCCTAAAACTGGCTACATTTGAGTAAACCAGTAACAATAAAAGGTATATCAGTTATGTCACTTTTATTGTGAAAGATGGGTTTTGGTAATGGGTTTTGACTTTTGGGGCTTTTAGATATAAGTTTAAACAATTTTACAGAATATTAGGCGTGGGTTATCGCAGTTGCCAATAACAGGATATTTAGTAAGTTTGTCGGTTTTTGAATTATAGCAATCGAATCTCGTTACGGAATAGCGGGATAGAGTTGTTCCAGTGTGCGCAACGTTCTTTATGCATTGTTACGGGGCGGCAAATGTACGAGTCATGAAATGTTACGGTTACGAAATGTTGCAGTTGCGAAACGTTGCATTTGGGAAATGTTGTGGCTGTGAAACGTTGCAGTTGTGAAATGTTGCGGATGAGAAATGTCGTGGTCATGAAATGGATTCGGTGAAATGTTACGATGTGAAATGTCGCGTTGTGAAATGTCGTGATACCGTTGCTGATAGATGTCGATTAAATCCACATCATTTTCCGAAAGGTCATCAACAGTTGCTTTCCATACACTGAGCGTTTTCTCTGGATCTGGGTCGCTTCCGAAAAACTTTTTGAATTTTTTTTCCATGACATTTTTATTGGTCCGTTCGGCTTTTCTAATCAACAGCTCGTTGTCGATCACTGAGTAATCTCCAAGTTCCATCAACGCGCGGCATATATCTTCACATTTCGACTGAAGTAGATTATCCAGTCTTTCGATCAATTCGCACTGTTGCAGCTTCTTTCCAGCTTCGAGGCCAAGTAGGTTGTTGACACCTTCTACATCGTTGGTGTGCGGTAAATTTGGATAAATGCCAAAAATCCTTCTTATTGCCGGGCCCATTTTTGCGTGAAGTTTCTTGATTCCGTTTCTCGATTCTGTTAAAAATTTAAGTACTTCCGGATTTTCGTCCGCGCGGTCGAATTCTCTCACGTGTTTCAGCATCTCCTCCAACGTCTCTTCGTCGACTGTTCCTCTTGTATAGGTGTTGGATTCCCTGTCAATGTCGCCAAAAATCCGACGCTGCCAAGCTTGGGAAAGACTTTGGCTTGCCCGAAGTTTCGCCATGTTTCGGTCGCACGATTTGGCAAAATGGTTACAACATAGAGTATGGGGTGCCTGCAGCACTAATATTAGGAACTTGTTGAATAAACTCGACAAAAGAACTACTGCCAGTTTATCATTTTTGATACAGAACGGAAACATGTATTATATGTAGCATGTATTACATGTATTATATATAGAATGAGATAGCCATGTACCTCAAAGACATCAATAAAAGGTTTGTAGAGGGCAGCTTCATCGTCCGTTTTAATCTTCAAATTCCGTGATACGTCTGTGTTCTTTATCTGCACGCCCCGTCTGATCATCTGCGAATGAAGCCAAAGGGCAACTTCTTCGAACACCGCAGCATCCTTCTTCTCGGACAACGCTGTCATGCCTATTAGTACAAAGGGTGTTCGCCGCTCTTTGTGAAAAATGCCGGGTAGCCGGCATGTCAAGACAACGGTATAAGCATTTGTGAGGTTGAATTTCACGTCCAAGTCTACGGACGTAGACGCCGGGCCGAAGCAATATTTCGCCACCAAGTCCAGCTGGTACTTTCGCGTTACAAAATGGACCTGTCGCTTAACTAAGCGCGCTTCTGGACGAAAATCCCAAGACTGATAGAAATGAGATTCCACAATTCTAGAATCCAGAATGTACTGCAGTTTGTCTCCTCCAAATCGTTCGTTCTTCATTGAATTTTTTGCTGTTTTTATTTGCCTTACAGATGAAATTTGGAAGGAAGGGTTGGCGCGAATGAGTGAAGCAGGAGTTTCTTCAATAACTTCTTTCAGTGCGTGACGTGGAGCTCCTACCGGCCCGCGACCAGTGTTGCTCAGCTTGGGAGCGAGCCTTCTCTTGAAATACGAGGGAAGTCGGCTTTCGGGATACTGCTTCGGGTCGAAACTGATCGGCTTAAAATTGGCCTTCCAGTAATAACGGATAATCACAAGATCGCTGATGGCGAGATCCATTTCGGTTGAGTTCGGTCCGTCCACAACAAAGCTGATAGTTTTGCAGAAACCATTATGCGAATGGTCATAATAAACGACAAGCACGTACAAAATATCCCCGTCATGCTCGAAATGGCACCATGATTTAGTCCGTTGTGACCACGTGCGGTTGCCGTCTTCTTTAAAAAGCTCTAGGACGACTTGCACTTCATTAAGCACAGTTGCGTCAATCCGAACCGCAAAGTAGCCTGTCCCTTGGAACTCCTGTGGAACGGAATGGTTCAACAGTACTTGAAGATCAGCTTCTGTCAATAGCAACGAATGGGTGGTTCCCAGGCTTTCGTTTTTCGGTCTCTGGAACATGTGGTACATTTTGCTGAAAGCAACGAATGGTTAGACTTCGAAAAGACCACCTTTATTAGCCTGACTAAAATACTAGCAAATTTAAATATCAAATTTAAAGTGTGCTAGTTCGCTAACAAATTTAAAGCCAACTTACGTTGTCCAAATCTTTCCAACGGCTGTTTCAGCCGTTCCCGATTTTATGCGCTCCTTACTGCCCCTGGCAAACAGTATATACGGCTCTGGATTTAGGTCCACGACCGAATGTTCGGACTGCTCGTCAACTGATAATATTTCAGAGTTGTCGTGCTCGGAACGGACGGAGTCCAACGAAACGTCCATGCCGGAAACGTTTAAGGCAGGTGAAGGAGATCGCGATTCTGTTGACCTGCAAATACAGTACGCCATGTACTACGTTTATAGTTAATTAAAAGTATATTCATAAAATTTACCTTTTTCGTTTTCTTGCCGACTGATCTTCGGAGATATTTGGAGCAATGTTATCCATGGTGCCAGGGACATCCATAATGTACAGTAGTACGAAAACGTCAGACGCAGTTCAAAGGTCAAGCAAGATTACAAGCAAACAGTGTTGTGCACACAGCACTCGGAATGAGGACCGTCAGTTTTTTCTCAGCTGCAGCCTGCAGTGCGAGTTAGGATTGCACCGCTAACCGATGTCCGGTTTTCGTTTACAAAAGCTTGTGCAACAAGCTCTCACATTCTTGCCTGGCCTCCTGATATTTTCTTGAGAATTTGTGAGAAACTCGACATACCCAGAAGTGCGAGTTTAATTGTTCCGTAGAGAATAGCAAAATGTCACTGATGTTTATGGAATTCTCTCAGTACAATATACATACCGGTATTTATGTACGGAATACGGTAATATATAATTTGAGTTTGAACGTGACGGTTTTGGCGTTATCAGGCACTGCACAAGTCTCACCTGATGCACTTGTACGAAAAAGTTGGATTTGGAAATCGGTGCGATATGAAGTTTAATATTCTTTAAAAACCAACTCTTCATTACGGAAAATAAACCGGAGATGGGGATTTATGAGTAGATTTTATGAGCAACATTATATTTATGAGTTATGTTTATGTTTATGCTTATGAATTATGTTTTATGTTTATGTTTTATGTGTTATGTTTTATGATTATGATTATGTGAATCTTACCTAGCCATCAAAGCAAACAATTAGTAGGGAGCAGTTCTTTGATTTTATTACCCTGTTTTGCTCGCCTGTTATAGGAAACGGAGCAAACGGAGCAATATGATAGCAGGCCAAGCACGTCCTGCGTTGCGTAATAAACCGTGTCTGTCCGTGTATTGATTCCAATAAGTTCTGCCACATCCTCTTTGAGAAATCACGAGTGGTTGTCAGTACTACTATATTTGCTTCTTTTGTTGGACATGTGTACCTAGCTTCATTGTTCCTTGCTAATTAGGCGTAATTATGGCAGCGATGTTTTGCGGATGTGTGAAATGGCGCAAACCATTCTGGTCCTGTAACATACTGACCGGCATTTAGAAAGATTTTTTTAATAATTCAGAGACGCTGCGAAACGCAAAATCTTAAACGCCATAGGCTACCTGTATCAACTAGCTACTGAGTGCAAGTTGATTCAAAGGAATTACATTCCCAGGAAATGTATCGCAAGCGCTTTTTCGCTCTGTCGCGCCGGCAACCACCTTATCCAGACCGTAGGAATCGACCACCATCAATGCCCAACTGGTGAAATTTTCACCTACCGTTTAAATTTTAAACTACTGTTTGAAAAAATCTCAAAAAAATAGGTTAAGATCATCACATTTTTGTTATCTTACAGTTTCAATTTGAGCTCTAACAAAAAATTCCTTGATAGTCCGAGCACTGCCGGGTTAAGACAAGCGTTGTTTTGTGTCGACTAATCTGGGCGAACAGCACCATCGTCGACTAATTTGGACAAAATGTTCTGTGTAATTAGGCTGACTGTTTCCGTAGTCGGCTGAGGTGTGTAATCATCGTCAGAATAAGTAAATCCTGTACTTTATACGAAACTTGTGACTGTAATCACTGTATTCTATCGTCAATCTGAATAAAAGCATTTATGTTACGTCCTTTCCATTTTACGTACAAGAATGTAAATTATGCATGTTGGCGGCAGTTCGCCATGGTGTTTGGACATCAAGTTTCTTATTTTGTGCTTTGTGATTCGTTTCGTCGATCGGTCGGAATATCCGCGAAGTTCGTTTAACAAATTGCAATATTCAGAGGAAAGGGTTGCAGCGGCTGTTTTGGGCACACTGCGTGCACGTATGACACAAGATTTCAGAAGCTTTTTCCATGTTTAAAATGCCATCAGTTTAATTGGTGTAAATTTGCGCAGGCATTTGTATGCTGGCTGATGCGGTGATGTCGAAAAAAATTAAATAAGTTTGACGCCTAGGTTATTGAGCGATTTGTACATACGGTATAATGGACGACAAAAGTAAGTAGATGGGGCGCAACTGCCGGCTGATTTATATGTAATTTTGTCATCCACTATATAACGCATACTACGTAATTAGATCGACTTGAAATTTAAAAGATTCTAGAAGTAAGTACTGCACGAAATCCTAATTTGCGGCCATGGCGATGCTCTCGCATACCATTGTGCTTCTCACTTGTCAAAATAGCGCCCGTGTTTGGACAAGTGCACAAGAAAGAAAACGTTTCAGCATATTGTATTGAACTGCAAAATAAACTAGCCTATTTCTCTGCCGGGAATGTAACAAAGGAACAGCATAGCTGTGACAAACTTTTAAGCCAACATGCTAATCTACACATTGTGAATTTCTTGTGCAATGGCATGCTTCATGTGTTGATGCAGCTGATCCTGTTGCATGCTGCACCACAGACTAGTTTTTACAATTAGATCATTTAGATGTATGCTGAAAAAGACGGTTTTTTGACTGTCGCGGCGACTGTTTTCCTATACGGCGAAAACTGCAAAAGTAAACTTGGTTTTCTTTATCTTTGTTCCACCCTTACATTGTCATAGATTTAAACGTAGCCTCCCACTTATCGAGTTATATCACTGGCCCAACTCGACTTTTCAATGTCGATTCCGTGATCCAGCTTCCGCGCAAGTTTTCCCAATAGGCAGTATGTACATCTTGCTGACCTCGGTTTTGCTGTCCGTAGCATGGATAATGCTACCGGGCAGCATTTACGGGCAGACAAGCAACGGGAACAGCTGTGCTGTACCTAGCATACCGCGGACACAAGCAGTGGACCCGGCGCAGGCAAGTCTTGTTCCGTTATAGGTTTGTCTTGGATAAAAATTTAAAAATCACCACGTACGTGTTAACCTTTCAATAGTCGCCGTTTTGTGTGGATATCGACAGAAAGCTGTTACCTATGGCTAAATCCGAACTAGCCGGATATGCTTGCTGCTTGATGTATCAATTTTAGCACAACGCGTATAGACGGAAGCGTTTTGCGTACAGTATTCCAATTTAAAATACATTAGCATAGTTCTAATTCAACCGGGATTTTTAACGCCTATCTAACCAGATGTTACTGCCACAAGCCATGGCCGTAGTTACCATCAGCCGGCAAATAGGTATAGTGCTTTTCTTTCGCTAGCAGCGGCATTATGTATTTATGTAACTTTATTTCAGATAGGCTGGCACGTGATCTTCTTTCGCTTACATAATCGAATACATAAAAAAGAAAATGGCGCTTGCACGTCGTCTCTATTTACAGTCTGTACAAACTATTAAGACTGCGCGAAATAATAATTAGGTCGATGCTGCGTGCACGGGGAAACACGGGTGTTGGCTGCGTGCACGGGTGTTTGCACGGGTGTTGTCTGCGTGCTCGGAGTTTGGACACGGGTGTTGGCTGTGTGCACGGGTGACCTTTTTGGATCCGCACGGGTGTTAGCTGTGTGCACGGCTATTTCAGTTTTTATAATTTCAAATTTTAGTCGTAAGATTTATAATTTTCCAGGTCTTATCAGTCACAACAGGTTTTTCGACCGGTTTCTGACATATTTTTCATGTGCCATAATCTACTGACATACTACACGCACCGCGTGTACTACTACCAACTTGACCGCAGTCAGCAGAGAAGGAACTCTGGAGATTGGTGTTGGTTCTGTTGCCCACTTCCGTAGACAACAGATGCCACAAACACACTCTCACCACACTCACTACCACACTACAGGAATACCACACAGTAACTTTCGCCTAGGTACACACTACTGCTTTCCCTAAACGAAGGTCACTCACAGCACAAACACCAACAGGATCACAATGATGTTACTCGTTTTAATCTTTTTTTTTTACCGTTCACAAACTCCGTGCACCCAGCCAACACCCGTGCGGACCCAAAAATATCACCCGTGCACGCAGCCAAAACCCGTGTTTACCCGTGCACGAAGCCATAATGTAATAATTATTATTTTATTGATACTCATACAGATGTCCGGGGTATGGTACGAATATCTCGTGTACACACCGGGGATTGTTGGCGACAACGTCTACAATGTCTTAATACCGCTGAACACCCAAACCCCGGGCATAATCACGTACAACCGTACGCTGTCGTTTTTATTACGTACACCGGCACCGCAGTGCGTCGTCATCTGTCTTGTGGGCAACATCGGCACGGACGGCAAGGAAGCCACCACCGGCTGGTTCCTCAATCCTACTCCAGGAGGCCCGCCTGTAAAAAGTACGTCGATCCACAGCCAGTTTTAAACGACATGCTGAATAAACTTTTGGTAATTTTGTTTCCAACGCAGGCGACGTTGTATACAACACACTTTTCACGGATTACCATTCCCTGCAAATCAAAATGATCTGCAACCAGGCATCAGCAGCCGGTACCTGCGATGCACCATACTTCTGGGCGTACACCCGGGTGAAACCGACCCTGCTGGACCAGTCCACTAAAAATTACATCGATGACACCGTCAGCAATGTCTTAGCGCCTTTCTGTTTCTCCACACGGAACTTGACCTTTACCGGCTGGGATGATAGTCTGCCATCTTGCCGGCCGACATTACCAGCAGATTGCAGTGCGTTAATGCAGTCCGTGAAGCAGACCAGTAATTCCATGAGCAGCAATATGTATTCCTCGTCGCCGGTCATGCAGCCGTCTGTGACGATGCGGGGAAACTTCGGATTCTTTGGATTTCCTCCCGGACGAAGACCAGCTTAATATTTTGATTGAGACACGACGATAAAGCGGGAAAATTCTTAATATTATCGTACTAGAATGCTCTTCGGTATGTTGTTGCGCAGACTGAACGTGGCTCAGGCGCTTCTAATGCCACATTTATTTTAATTAGAACATTGGTTGGCAACGTGCTAGGTTTGTGTTTTTCCGATTCCGGTGCTGCGCGTGGGGCTTGTCTGCTGACTGCTATTTAAAACGTTCGATATTCTTGACTTACGCACATCGATTAGAATTTCGTATACAATAAACAGGAAATGTGGGTAGCTTACCCAAGATGTTTGTACATAATGGTACATGTACATAAGAGGCACAACATGTACAAAACATATGTAAATAAAAGATTTAATTCCGAACCAAGAAAAAAACAGTGCAACACCCGTTCTCAAACTGATATATGAAACATTACTTTGATTAAAGCTAAAGCCGACTAGAATACTTCTATATGTACAGTAGCTTCGTTGAAATACAAAAAAGTTTCTAATTACGAATTACATTCTGATGCAGCATACTTCAATTTTTTATTATATACTGTGAATGAATTTATTGGACAATTGTTCATTTAATCGACGATCATTATTTTACTCTCTGCCGATCATCCAAAAATTGCTGCCGATTGACGAAACGATGACTAGCATTTCGTGATACAGTAATATATCTGCACTATGACAGAAAGGTATCGGCAGCGAGCGCCCTATAAAAATGAAGGATTACAAAAATGCACATGCATAAGCAGCTGCCCAACCTGTTCTGCACTTAACAATTCCCTGATTATTGTTTTTCCATAAGTGTTTCACGGAATAAACGGTAACACTTATTACTAGACAGTCTTGCTTTACAAAACTATGTATATAAGCCGCTATGTCTTGGAAGTCTGTTCATTGTTACAACATAGTTATTATTACCGGAAGGTTTCCCTTATACCGTACAGAGAAACGTGACATCCACGTCTGCGGTCATGAAATCCTCGGGTGATTACGGTGCGCTTTCCGGTAAGTTGTCTCCCGTTGTGAGAATGATAGTCTGCATTTATATACTGTATTTTGAATATTTTCATTATTATGTGAAATTATAACTAACAGAAAAGGCTTTAATTCTGCACTCAAGTAAACAAAATTCGTTAATACCAAATCGTCTAGTTGAACACATTCTGTACAGCGTAAATTGAAATAAATACATGGGTACGTAAATACGTACTATGGAAAATTATAAACAAATAATTTTTCTTCAATAAGTTCCAAATTTACCAACATACCGTAAAATATTTTTGAAAGAGTAAGTTCGGAGTTCTATTACACTTTTTATGTTGCTCTTGTTCCAGCGCTGGTCTTAATCCTGGCGCTGTGCACAGCAGTGCGCTGCCAGAATGTGAATCGGAATGCCTGTTCCATCCCACTAAATCCTCGTACGCAGCCGGTGGATCCCTATCAGGCACGCCAAGAATTCCTCGTACAATCAATTCGCCAAAATGCTGCCTAAAAATAAATTTCTGGATGTTGTATTACAGATGTCCGGTGTATGGTATGAATATCTCGTATACACACCCGGCACCATCGGCGACAACGTCTACAACGTCTTGATCCCGCTGAACACCCAGAACCCCGGTTATGTAACGTACAACCGAACCATCTCCTTTCTTTTACGAACCCCAGCACCGGTGTGTGTCGGGATCTGTCTGGTGTCCAACATCGGCACGGACGGTCGGGAAGCCACCACGGGATGGTTCCCCAATCCGACTCCGGGAGGCGCACCCATCAAAAGTAATTTCCACTACTTTTTTACGGGAATTTTTTAAAAAACAACAACATCAACAATGTTTTCGTATACTTCCCAGCAATGTTTTCGTATTCTTTATTTTTTTATCCAGTGCCTATATTGTAGGTAATGTTGTCTACAACACCATCTTTACCGATTACCACTCCGTGCAAATCAAATATTTGTGCAACCAACAACCACCCCCGACCAACGGCATCTGCGATTCTCCGTACTTCTGGGCGTACACCCGCATCAAACCGACATTATTGGATGCAGCGACGAAAAAGTACGTTAACGCCACCGTCGACAATGTCCTCTCGGGTTTGTGTATGTCCACACGCAACATGACCCTTACCGGGTTCGATGATAATCTGCCGGGGTGTACACCGGCATGGCCAACGGACTGCACCGCGTTGATGCAGTCGGTGCGCCCAGCCAACTCATCGAATAACGGCCCGACCAGTCCGTTTAATAATGGGATGCCCGGCGGAAACCATCCGTCTCCATTCAATAACGGCTGGAATCCACCGGGTCCGTGGATGTCGCCCATGGCCGGTATGATGCCATTTGGCCATGGATAAGATTATGCATATAAAACTGAATACTTCGCCGAGTTAACGTCCAAGTTCTGAAATGTCTACCCTAGAAATCACCTGGTCCTGCATGTTCTCCATTCAGGCATTGGGAATAATTTAGGCATCTTTTGTACCTTCATGCATGTGTGATAGTGTGTTGGTGTTACCCAAACAGAATTTTCTAAGGAATAATAAGAAAACTTGTGTTGCAGTTGCTAGATAATTGAGTTCGCACAAAATAAAATACAGCTTAATACGAGGTACATGAAAAATGAAACATTAAGTCACAAATAAAACATGAAATTGTGTGGTTGCATATGCTTTACTCAAGGATACCTGGTACGCATACGACAAACATTATAACTGCCATGTTCTTTATTTCAGTTCATGATTAGCAGGCCACAACCAAACACTACTGCTACAAAATTAGTATAAGAAATTAAGAGGCATCATCGAAACATCCAGTACGATCCAGTACGACCTGCAGTTATCGTATTTTCTATACACCACATGTACAAGTTCAATGTAAAATGCACAATTATGTAAAATGTACATGTACAATTGTATCATAAGTACAATACCAGCTATATTTATTCCATCTAGCAGCTATTTATTTATACCAGCTGTTCATTTAAATTTAGATAGTATGACCGCGGACGCTGTTTTATGTCGATTTGGTGGCTATTGTCATGATCAAAATGCAAAATAACCGTAAAGCCCGTAACAACGAATAATAGTTAAATACAGATAATTACTGTATGTATGCAATTTTTTTTAAGTACTGCGCGGGGCGTACGCGTACCACTACTAACTCTTCATGCTGCAGAAGAACGCACTTGCATTGTTACGACCGCCTAACTTTCTTTTGTCGTCAAGAAGGAGAAGTATTGTTAGTAAAGTGATCGCTGTTTATTTTGTTTTTATCGCAGGCGATACAACTGTCACTTGCTGCGATGCCGCTGTTATTTTATTGCCGAAGAACGGAAAGAAACCCTTTATTAGCACGGGCTAGAGTCGCTCCACAGCTAGTTCTAGCGTGGAAGTTTGGAAGTAACGCGTGGTAATCGAAGATTCAAAAATACTTCTGGGAAAGGTCACATGGCCTGTACGCTTCGCGAACCATGAACAATGCAAGCGGAGAACAGCTGGTGCGCGATAATATCAATATTCTGCAGTTAATTTCACCGATCCATAATTTTGCAGGCATCCTTTACGACCTCCATCCCAGCAGTTATCGCAAAACCCCGACTCTGTTTTCGGCTGACACTATTTCACCTCCAGAGTCTCCGTATCCCTTCCGGCCGTGTGGTAAAGCATATACAAAACCACCTCCGATTCGGCGCGAGCGCTGATACTGTGGGACGCTTTGAAACTGAAAGGCGAATCATCGGTTCCGTTCAATCGATCCTGGCGGAAAGGTGTCAACCATGTGGTTCGCCTATGGTGACGGCACGCTAAAAAAATATGCCAAAAGCAAGGTCGGTCATTTATTTTACTGCCTGTATTTTCTGCATTCAAAAAAATTTAAAAAGCACTGCAATCGTTTTTCATAATGTGAGTGTGATTATCAACAATAAAATTTACAAAATATTAGCTAATGCTTTAAAATATGACCTTTGGCTATTTAAATTACGAAAACATCCCATCAAAACATAATAATCGTAATTACGGTATAACTATATAGGGGGAAAAAGTAAACGCGTTCCACCGTTCCCCTGAACTGCTGCCGTCACCCGCCTGGAGTGTGACGTTACGGCAATACATATGCTAAATCTGGCGCGGTACATAAGCGCCATGTTCAGCCACAACGTCACGCTTCAACCGGGTGACGGCAGCAGTACTGGGGAACGGTGGAACGCGTTTGCTTTTTCCCCCTCAATACTATAGAAGGTAGCCTCACCCATCCGCGCTCGGCACTTGAGTACTGGATTGGTACTGGTATTGGCGTTATTTTCGAAGTCATTATAGATGTAAAACAGCTAAAAGTATGGAAAACAGTTTTTTAAGACTAGGATTGTAATCGTATATACGCTTTGATAGTCGTATTTTATAAGACGTAATGACGTTCTAACCTTTTCTAATTTTTGACGTTCTGATGTTCTGAAGCTCTGAATTTCTGAACTTCTAAAGTTCTTGATTTTTCACGTTCTGACGTTCTAATATTCTGACGTTCTCATGTTCTCACGTTCTGAATTTCCGACATTCTAACGTTATTAATTTTTCACGTTCTGATTACCTGACGTTCTGCCTTCTCACGTTTTGACCTTCTGATATTTTTATGTTCTGATGTATACAGACAGATACGGTATAATGCGACATAAGGGGCGCTGTACTTTACCTTTTATGGACGTTAAAATACTGTTTAAATTAATTTACTGTTTACACATCAAAATCTACACTAAAAAGAAAGTATTCATGCTTCCGCTATAGTCTCTCTGGTTACAGTCATTTTGTTAAGCACTTTTTATTGCTGTGCAGCGATTACTTCTTTGAGCGCTCTTTACGTTTCCTCTACTGAAGACCTGGTGAAACCATCTTCTGACCACTGGTTGTGAAAAACGAACAAAAATCTATTGGTACACCTATCAAAAATATGGAAATTTTTAAGACCAAGCTGGACTTAAAATGACTACGCGTTGACGATTGTTGGGCTTTCATTAACCATTGTCTCTTATAGAAGATCGGGAAATATGAATTCTAACGGCTTTTCGATTTTCTGAAACTGGTTTGATTGCATGATCGATTTTGCTAATTTCGAATTATTCTAAAATTATCTTATTAAATAAGTTCACCAAATTTTTCCAATATCTAAAATCGAAAGCTACGGCAAAATTTGATACTCTCTTTCCTTAGGCAGTTCTGAATTATTTGTGGGTGTTTTTCGGGCCCGTAATTATTCTAATCGGGTTTATGAACCGTATTACCGCGGTACTTTGCACATAAAGAAATTGTTGGCTTACAGTGCCTGTTGCGTAAGCCAGAAACCAGTAAGTAACGTTTTAGGTAAAACATAACAGCATGTCGAAGTTGTCATTATAACTTATTAAACATTATTAAAACTGAATCTACAGTTTCAGTAATAATTTATAAGTAAACTGCAAAATACCTTTGCAAAACTTTGCAGAATTTTTCCATTCATTTTTCTCTTTCCACGAATGTACTTTTAAAATATTTCCAAATATTAAAATTGTTTTCAAAGTGTAGAAATACTAAAATATAAAAGTAGTGAGCCTGCTGCACCAAACTAGCTTGCTTACGTTAACCTCTTTTCTAATAAGTACTCGTATATTATGAGCGTGTGTTGTGTTCGGCCAGGTTTAATTCCCATGCTGTGTATGTAAAACATCAGTTTTATGGGTTACCTGCTATCCCGATGAAACTGCTAACTAAAACAAAAAAGGTTTTTTAAAGTTTGTGTACACGGGTCAGCTACGTTAGATTGCACCGGACCGGACTTGCTCTTAAGGTATGGCATTATGATTGCAAATCTACAGTCTGTATTCTACACATATTATATGTGTGTGGACGTGTATTTGCTAAGCTAATAATGTCCGTAAAATATTACAAATTAATACTATAATTATAGAAGCATAGTTCTATTCTAGTAACATCAGCTTAAGTACTGACAGATCTTTTGAAGATTTTTCAAAACTTTTCGGAACTGCAATAATTTTTTCAAAAGCGTCGTAATCTATTCTGCCCTGCGCCTGAGTTATCAAAAAAAATTCTAAGCTGAACGCATGGATACTGAATTATTTCTCGACTTGCAAAAATATCAAGACATAATAATGTACTCGTATAACTCTTAAGATAAAGATAAAGATACGGTAGTTACAAGCACAATGTGTCCTGCATTAGTGCTTGTTATCAATAGATTCATATATCCTTACGTCCTTATTTTTTGGAAATTATCTTCTAAATCAAGATTGATTTTTTTAATAAGGTGATAATTTTATAAAATAGAGCATCGCGCAAACGTTCCTACCTTTATCTTTAAAAAAATCTCAAGTTTTGGAGAAGGTCTAACAAAATTTTTAGAAGCTGTAGTACTTAAAGGTTGTTAGTACTTAAAGGTTGTTAGTTTTGGAAATTATCTCCTAATTCGAGATTCCATTGGTGAAGCTTTTGATTATTTTATAAAATCCAGCATCTTCTAAAGCTTCCTATCTGCTGCTTCGAAAAAAATTTTGGTTTCCGGAACGTTTTCAAAAACCCTTTCAAACTTTCCGTACTTGGCGTTTAAAGTTCATAGAAATTTCCAGTAAATTCTACAAAAGTCTCGAATGAGCAAATACAAGTTTCGCAACTTAGCAACCTAAACTATAGTTATTTGAAATTGACAATCCTATCAAAGTTATAATTTTTTTAAATTCTTGAAACCTTTAAGATGTTTTTAAATCTGTTTGAATACCTCAAAATAACTATAAATGTTTTGAAAGTCGGCTCCAAAGCTTTTACATTTCAAGAATTTCTAAATATTTCTAAATATTTCGACTCGGCCCCGCGCAGCGGGGCCGTTACCTCTAATTTTTTGAGCCTCCAAAGTTTCGAAATTTAAAAATATCTAGAAATCTAAGTACTTCAATATCTCACGGTCTAAATTGTCTGATTTATATGTAATTTCTAAATATCTAAAAGCCAGCCCGCGGCCCGTTTACCGTATTCACTCACATAGCGGCTCTGTGATACTGGTAGCTTGGGTATTCACTAAGTCATACGTTGCTCTGTAATACTGGCGGTAGCTTGGGTATTCATTAACCTCAAAATTTAATAAATATGTATTTATTTTATTTTTATAAATACTCAAGAGCTTGACTGAATGGCTGAAGATCTTACAATTAGTAGCTAAAGATGCAGCCTCCCAGGTCACCTTGGGCAACCGTTATTCTGCGCTAAAATATCGGTTGAATGGTTTTTGTGGGCATCGTGTAAATGATCCCACTCCATTCATTTAATCACCGTTTAAATAATTATTATCGGTCGTACAAAAAAATTCAAGTTTTCAGTTCGTTAGATCGGCAATATAAAGTTACATTAGAGTGCGTGCGATGACAATCTGCCGCTCGTGACAAAATACAAAATGCGCCATAATTTGATTTACGCCCATTTTTTCAATGGAATTTTCAATATTAAAAACTATTAAAAACGTGAAAAAGAACCGTGAAAAATGCAAACAAAAAGAAAAATTGCGGAGGCTTTCACAGTTTTTATACCACTGGTCGAATTTAACCGGAAAGCTTGAAAACTGTCCTCATTTCTACATGTTAAAATATTTTCGTAGCTGGCCTCGCTGGGGGTTTCATAATTGAAATACAGATATATTTCTCAAAATCATTTTTATTGCTGTACGATGTGTATTTTGTATTTTTTTTTAAATTCTTCCATACCTCGAACACAACTGGTCGCGCGCTAGCGCGACCGATACTTGTGAGTATATAATGTTATCAACACATTTCACAAAAGCACGGTACTACGGGCGACTTAAGACGCAGCACCAGAAGAAAAAAATTATGAAATTGTGATTTAATAATTATTAAACATTATTAGAGGCAATTCAACATTATTACATGAGATCGAGTAAACATACAGATTGTAATGACTGGGATAAGTTATCATAAGTATATACTGTAATAACTCCATTTATATACTATGATTAATAATTTTTGTTACCCTGCAGCACAAACTGCGGCATACCTTCTGTTTATCCGATTGCTCCATCCGTTTCGTTCTTTATCAGAACACCCCCCGTATTTGTCAACCCGGACAATGATCTCTTCATGATCAGAAGCAGTTAGAACTTGGCGCTGTAGTTTCACAGGAAATTAACCGGTCATGTTGACCTTTACCATTCATCCAACAAACTTCTGCAGATCTGGAACCCTTCGTGAAACAGGTAGTGCAAAATTTTACACTGTTGTACACAGCCAGCCTGCCAAGTAGGACATTTCTACGTTGTGCATTTCGAAAGTGCAGCGTTGCAGCAGACACCACTTTACTTGGACGAGTGGCTATGGCGCTGATGGAAAATTAACCGGAAATTTTGGACAAGTTTTCAGAGAATTCAGTGTATGAAAAATCCAGGGCAATTGTTATTGCATTAAGCTCCAAATTTTCCAATCACGACTTGCTGGCACGGCGAATTCTTACCGGTTCCGTACTTGATAACTGCAATATTTTCGACATTTGATAAATGATTACTCAGGACATTCGGGAACGACGTGGTTGTAACGAACATCGCCGTTAATATAAAAGAAGTCGGGCATGACAGCATTGATAGTATCGATCATCTTATCTTTTCCCAACTGATTCTTTTGCCGTTATTCCTTAACGCGACAATAATTATGAAGTCAATCCTCGTTTTCCTTGCCGTAGCCGGTAGGTTAATATACACTGTCACGGCATTCCTAACTTGCAACAACCTCTAACTTTGTAGGCCTTGTTGCCGTGATGCATGCCCAAGGAATCCAACAAGGACCTATTCCACCCCAACAAGGACCTGTTCCACCCCAACAAGGCGGCCCAGGTGGTGCGCCAGGGGTTGGACCTGGTTCCAGTGGTTCTAGTGGAGGCCTCTCTGGACAAGGTGTACCTCCACCCCTTCCTGGTCAAGGTCAAGAAATCGTAGGTGGTGGTGGTAATGCGCAGTACGGAGAAGGTACAGGTGCTGTGGGCGGCAACTGCTTTGGGTCAGGGTGCAATTGATGTTTGTGGTGGTGCGCACTTAATGCTGTATCATGAACTCTAAGTTGATAATATTCAAACTAACCGACCTTGATTTTTTACTGGCTGAGCAATGTAACACTACAACAAGATCGGAGCGTAAAAGACATTCTAGAGAATACGATCCAAGATCAGCTATTAAAGAGCTGCATGCTGTGCAGAATTATTCTAAGCCATTCACACGCGGTTTTCAGTACAGATTGCTAAGATGCCACAACACGTCTTCTGCTCATCGGCAAACATGAAATCTGTTTATTGCTTGTTATTTCGATGGGGGGTATGGGGGGGACGTTGATTAAATATCACTGAACTCAATCGTAATTTGTTAACGCGTCCCTTGAACCACTTCCTTGATCTTAGATCAATAACTCTCTATACAGTATAGGACAATGTCAATACAGTCATGCTTGTCTGAAGTCTTTCCACAGCGTACAGTACCTATGCAAATCTATATGATGATGATTCATTCACAGATTACTTACTTGCAACCGTCACTAATTTTCATAATGCGGTGACCAAGCTGATCCTTGAACAGTTCTTTATAATAAAAGAGTGTGAAAGCTGTCAAAATTCGTAGAAGTATGTGTCAGGGTCTAAGTCTCTGCAACCAAAAACCACTACCGACCAACGGCGTTTGCGATTCTCCGTACTTCTGGGCGTACATGCGCCCCAAACCAACGTTATTAGATGCAGTAAAGTATATATAAGACGCCGCGACAACGAAGCGACGGAAAAGTACGTTAACGCCACTGTGGACAATATCCTGTCCGGTTTCTGTATGTCCACGAGCAACATGACTCTGACCGGGTTCGACGACAATCTGCGGGGGCGTACACCGGCACAGCCGACGGACTGCCCCGCGTTGATACAGCCCAGTCAACTCTTTGAATAACGACCCGACCAGTCCGTTTAAGCAATGCGATGCCCGGCGGAAACCATCCGTCTGCGTTCAATAAGGGTTGGAATCCGCCGGGTCCATGGATGTCGCCCATGGCCAATATGATGCCGTTCGGTCCAGGATAAGAATAAGATACATGCTATTGCGCCACTTTGTCAGCTAGTTTAGGTCTTGAGATACCTACACTCGAAGATACCTGCTGGTTGCGCATGGTTTTTTCTCTGGCGTTGAGAATTTTATATGTACATACACCCATCTGCGTGTTAACAAAACGGCATCAAAATCATCCCAGGAAAAAAATCAGAATATGATCATTACTGTCAATAGTGGCACGATGCACAAATAAAGGGCAGTACTTGCGAGTTGCGAGCATGTACATGTACAATATCGAATTATACAAGTATTACATTAGACAAAATCAGCAACATAACCATATTTTATTGCAAATTTTGTATATTATTATCCGGAACTAATTTTAATGGCAAATAAGGATAATAAGGTAATTTTGTTTCATTGGTTAATAATAAGGGTTAGCTGCACATTGTGTAGTTGCATACGTAATATCAAAGAATACAATCATACGTGCTGTACATGCGTAATTATCTTACTGTCCTACGAGTACGTGCAATGCCAGCTACTTCAGTTAGTGCAGGTATGTACTAACAGGTACAAGTATGTACTAACAGGTAAAAAGGGTAAGAACGGCCGAACGGAAAAAAGCCGAGAAGTACCAGAGCATCACTCACGATTACCTGTTCCGAGCGGTCGGCGTGGAGACAGTAGGGCCACTCGGACCGGAAGCCTCCCGGCTGATTAGCGAAGTGGGCAAGATGATTTGGCAGGAAACAGGCGAGAAACGTGCAACGGAGTTTTTGCGCCAGAGGTTCAGCATCGAAATTCAACGTGGAAACGCGGCATCCATCCTGGGAACGGCACCGGCCTCGGCTAATTTAGATCAAATGTTCTCTGTAATCCGGCCGCATGTTTCTGCTGTTTGTTAATATTAGGATGTGATGTTTCTTTTGTGAATCGAAAACTATGTACGAGTATAGAAGTATAAATACTAACAGGTGCAGGTATGTATGTGCAGGTACTTAATGCCGAAATCTAATGTGCGCACCGTGGCGCAGCAAACACCAGACAAATGAAATCGGATCCTACAGCCCGCGCAGCTGTGCTGTAGATCCGTCAAAACACCGCAGAAATGTGTGGGATGGAAATCCCCAGAACAGCAAAACACAACGGCGAATGTTCAATCATGAAGGCGGAGCTATCGGCCTTCTCAGTAGTACACACCTGCACTAACTTAAAATTAACGCATTAATGCAATCTTCGGGCCATAATAGTGTGCCGGAAATTGGGTTAGCCAGTACAGGTGCGCAGGTGGTAAACCACAAACCGATGTCTGCGCCTGGCACCCGAAGGCCAAGCTGGTCAGTCTATACTATATAGCTAAGTACTGCTTGTGCAAGCATCCTCGATCGACCAGGCCCCAAAAGCAAAGCCGCGGCCCAAACAAGTGAACATATTAAACGGGACAATAAACAAAAAACGCAGCATAATCAAAAAATGAAACCGTTAATGCAATAAACCATAAAACCATGCAGGACGCGAGCCATTTTCTCAATGAAGTCGAATGATTAGCATTAAATTAAGTGAACAACAGAATACAGGGAGCATATGCAAACTGCTCCATCGGCCAGAATACGCAATAGACCGTAGTAATCAATGCGCTTCCGGGGATGAAAGTGGCATACCCTCCACGTCCTGGTCGCAGTTGACCACGTGGACCGCATCGAGTGCGGGACGTCGTATGCGCGTGACAATTAACGACACTTCCGTCAGCGGCTTTGTGGAGAGTGTTAAAGATCATGCGATGGTGTTGCTTAGGTGAAGGTGACAAAGGCCGACTGGGTGAACCACTCCTCCTTGGTCGGGTCGGAGCGGGCCCAGTACTCGATCTCCCCGCTGCGGTGCACTTTGGGCGAGGCCACGAGCAGCGTCAATGTTTTCTGACAGTATGTCTCTCCATTGGGCAGCACGACGTTCTCCGCACGGGTGGACGACGGCAGGGTGAGCACGATGTAATTCTGAAAGCAGCCTAACGTGTTGATGTAATGACCGGGTGGTGCGGAGACCCACTTGCCCTGGTATTTCCAAGCGAAATGCTGAGCGGGATCCGGTCGACACGGAAACTGCAGGTCCCGGGTGCAGGTGATGGAGAGCGAGGTTTGCGCGGGGACGGTAACATTGGACATGGGGTGGCGGAAGACCTGGCTGATGTGACGCGGTTGCGGGAGTACTAGGTACTCCTTCAGGAGACAGAGTTGGCGGTGTCCGCCGGTATCCAGGCAAGGCAAGGCCGCAGACACTCGATGCTCCCGGCGACGGCGTAGCCGACATTATGCAGCATTAGCACGGCCACTTGACCGGTGCGGACGTGGGTGTATTGGCGTCCGCCCACGGACGTCTCGTTGTTGTAAAGTAACTGGCCATTAACGCGCCAGACAACATCGCCGGCCACGGGCGGCTGACCGTCGGTGTGAACCAGGGGGCAGGCAAGACTGACGGTGTCGCCCACAAAAGGACGCTGCACACCGGCCGAAGGATCGACCACTGGGCGGGCGCTGGTCTCCGGCAATTTGACGTGTGGATTGAGACGAGCGGCACGGGGTCGTTTGACCGCTTCGCGCACTGCATTCGCCAAAGACACGTTTCCGCAAGAAGTCCTATGTTCATCCGTCAACCGTTTCATTTCATCCAGTTCGCTTTGCAGCTCATTAAATGCTCCTCGCCCAAGACAAGCAAGATACGGCCGCGGAAATATTGTATCAAGCCAATATCAAGCCTAATAAAAAATATCCACCCATACTTCGGTTTTATCTTGAATTTTTTTACTTAGAAACCGGCTGTACGGTTGTGCGTTTTTTAAAGTGCAATAAGTACGATGGCAGATTATACAGTATCTGTTGCCGCAGAAGTGTTATACAGAAGTGTTGTACAGAAATTTAAGTGTACATTTAAGTTATAAATTTAAGTGTTATACAGAAGTGTTATACAGAAGTGTTGCCGCAGGTGACTTTTGATCACGTGACATGGCCTGGTGGAGCGGAAGCGGTTTCGCCCGTAAACTAAAACGCTATTCAGCCCATGTTCGTACCTTCACTTCTCACCAACTGCAAGTAGAGTTTTGACAAGCAGATTGTGCCAAAATAATGAACATACAGGGATAATTTGCAAGAGGGGAGCGTAGAAACGCAGATTTTTGCGGCACCAAAGCCATATCCACAAGCAAATTTCGTGGATACCCATATATACTGCCGCGCATTTCCGTTTGAAAATGCCTATATTTGCTGCAGTTGATTAATTCTGTTGGCGCTTCGGGTAAATTCGCTGTCGGTTTTGCCACGGTTCGGCTTTTTTATCGGTTCGTGACGTCACGAGCTGTGTGGCTACACAGAGCTCGTGACGCTTAGGGCACACTTAGGGCACATTGAGAATTAAGATACCGCTTAGGGCGCACTATTTTTACAAATTTACGGGCAAAACACTGTACGTGCATAAATTATATGAATACTAATCATCTGTGCCAGGACTTCATGTAACCAGGACTAATTCATGTAACTTAACACGTCAGTCATCATTGCAAGTTATGTACTGTATGTACAAGTAAACAGTCAGTCATAATATTACTAAACATACGTACGGGTTTATTATGACAGTCTGTAAGCGACCACAAATCAACACATCCTTGGAATTACTTATTTTTTAATAGTCATCGGCCAATATTCATCCGTGCTGGGCTTGTATATCGTAGTTATGTACATACTACATAGTACCCATTTTGGCTTTGTACGCCCATTTATACTGTTATATGCACAAATAAAATAGCACTATTATTTTATTTGATAGAATTATACAGGGATATTCGTTGTTGATGTCAGGCCGGTACATGTTAAGTTAATCGTTGAAAAAGGAATTTGTATTTGTATGTGCTACATTTAACGAATCAGCGGATTAAATTGTTGACTTACTGTCGTTTCAATATTGTATGCCTTTGCAGAAACTGGAACACACATCGAAGTATCTACTGAAGCTGTGCGAGTGCATCTCGCGACTTGGCGTGACTGTTGAATAGCGATTGTACTTGTGGGGATGCACTTGGCGTTGTTGGCAGCCTGTGTAGTTGGGTGAAGGGTGCCAGCCGGAGGACTCACTTGATTATCGATTGGATTCCTGGCGTTTCGCTGGCTGTACAGATACTAGATACGAGTAGGTAAGCAGTGTGCTGAGCACGGATGAATATTGGCTTGTACGACCATTATTAACTGCAATGCTTTAATTTCTACAGTTTTATGTATTATGCCGGTAAAACTAAAGAAACAATCAGAATGAGCGATATTATAGTTTTCAGTGACCTGCCTACATACTTTACGTAAGTACTATCAATATTACACACAAAGATGCTTTGCTTTTCGTTTTCTTACATACTCGTAATGAACATACTTATGTTTATCGCAACACGGACTGGCTAAATAGTGTACAGAAGTTATTTACACATAGTTTACGCTGATACTTTGTACTGTACTAAAATACGAGCAAAGATACTGCTAGAATGCTAGCAGGTATTTCTTATCGTGTCCATGGTAACAAGCTTACGACTGACCACTGGACGTAGCCAAATGATTTTAGCAAAATCAAATGATCACATTGAGAGATTTGATGTACTTTAAAGCAGCAAAATTGGTAAGTAAGCCGAGATCCTTTGCCTCAAGGAGAGGGCCGTCTAGATGATTAGTATTCATTATATGAATATGAATTATATGAATATGAATACTAATCATCTGTGCCAGGACTTTGGCCCCTCTCCTTTGAGGCAAAGGATCTCGGCTTCTACTTTACCAATTTTGCTGCTTTAAAGTACATCAGAATTCTCTCAATGTGGCGGTGGATCATAGATTGTTGATTTTTTGCTAAAATCATTTGGCTACGTCCAGTGGTCAGTCATAAGCTTGTTACCATGGTCACGATAAGAAATGCATACACATCTAACCCGACCTGACCCAGCGGAACACTAGCAATATCTTTGCTCGTATTTTAGTACAGTACAAAGTATCAGCGTAAACTATGTGTAAATAACTTCTGTACACTATTTAGCCAGTCCGTGTTGCGATAAACATATGTTCATTACGAGTATGTAAGAAAACGAAAAGCAAAGCATCTTTGTGTGTAATACTGATAGTACGTAAAGTATGTAGGCACTAGGCAGGTCACTGAAAACTATAATATCGCTCATTCTGATTGTTTCTTTCGTTTTACCGGCATAATACATAAAACTAGAAATTAAAGCATTGCAGTTAATAATAGTCGTACAAGCCAATATTCATCCGTGCTCAGCTTTATTATAATAATTGTAGCGACATGCTTTTTATTTGGCGGTATATAAAACTCACACTATTTTTCTATCATAATAAAGATGTACTTATTCCACAGCCTCAACCGACAACAGAAAAAGACGATGATTGTAGCGATGTCGCAGGAAGTCGTTGTACAGGGTAACAAAACGTCAAAACCTGCGATCGCACGTAAAGCTTCTGCGATCACACGTTAAGTGTTAAACAGCAGCAATAACAGCAGCAATAACAGCAGCAATGACAACATACTGTAGCCGTACAAATGAGATCTGTAGTGAAGATGTACATCTCATTGGTGCTAGTTCAACCGGAGACATCTGAATGTGTACTTGTGCGAGATGACCAGTCCTAACGTGGATTTGCTAGACTTCTGAGATTGTCTGAATGTTCTAAAATCGTCCTTCCTCTTGCCCTTGCCCTTGCTCTTCCCCAATGACTTTTCAGCTGATTAAAAATGTTTGTGCACTTTGACAATCGCGCCCGTATCGGTTAACATGTTCGCAATTGCATAATTGATTTTTGGGTAATTCGCTAACTCGTAACATCACCGACGGCCATCGACGAACCATCAAACCTCGTTTTATCGTGGTACGGGTGTGTAACCCACTCCACTAGTGGCAGCTTATAGAAGTTGCCGTTGCAATACTGTAAGCAGTACTAAGCACTAACGCAGTTGCCAAGCATCTCATATGTACAACATTATGAGGATTTTATCGATAATTACTGTAAGTACTTACTCACTTTCAATAGCGCTAAAATTCAGTTAAAAGCATACAGTTATATATTTCTTTGTAAGGGATTTTTATTTAAATTTTAAATCAGCAACGTTAGTAACTTCATAATTCCCGTCACGGAGGAAATTCTGCTTTTAAGCACCAAGGCAAATTTTGTCCGAATTCTTTCGCTTTCCGTTTAGCAGATTGTTGAAGAATTTGTGAGCACCTCTGCGCTCGGAGAACTCGTCAAAAGATGGTAGAGGACACTGAATTTGTGATTCCCATACATCCGGAATTGCTGGATATTTCCTGTGGGGAAGCCAGTAACGAACCGCCAGGCTCACATATTCCCCTGCAGCATGTGCACCAGGGATTCCTCTTGCAAGCGAATGTCAACGAGACACGAATCTGTGAGAATATCAAGCTAGAACGCCGCCAAGTGGGCTGGACTTTACTTCCGAATGCTTCTATTCACAGGACTTTAATTCGCAACTGTGACGATACCCAGGTAGATCATGCCCACGTCTCATAAAAATTGAATTATAATATTTGGTACTGTGTGGAGTACAAATTATAATACACAACCTATTGCGGACGCGATATGTTATCGAACAAAATTAATTACTTTTGGAAATGATCTGCAGTGCAGTAACAATACTGCATTTAACTGGTCCACGAAATTTACAACTATTGCTTCATGTTTCTGGATTTAATTTGTATCATAGCGTAGTACAATGGCTTTGTTCCGATCTTCCGGAAAGTCTTATCTAAAGATAACAATCACTTGAGTCATGCTAATTTCGGTAAATGTTCAGTCAATCTCAAGATTCCTTTTTGCCAGTAGGTTTCACTGGCTAAGGAAGTGCCAACTATGATTGATTCAGTTTATTGCTGCACGCTAATTATGATCATCATTAATTAACTGAATGGTTTATTAGATTAATAATTATTAGATTTTTTTACAATAATTTATGAGAGAATTATGATAATTATTAACGCACATATTTGCATTTTCCAGGCCAGCCAGCTTCCTTCACATGATGTTAAATCCCTTACCATCAGCAATTTAAAGCAAAACAAATTTAATTTAATCGAGGATATCTTCGATGATTCGACATTACTTCTTCGAAAGGTCACATGGTCGACACGTTTCGCTAGCCAGGAGGAAGCGGAGAACTGGTACAATATTCTGCAGTTAATCCACCGCTCCTTCCAACCCTCTCCCGTACGACTTCCACCACCGGTCGTCGCCCCACCCCGAGTCCGTTCTCTGCTGGAACTACTTCCGCTTCCGCGAGTTTCCGCCTCCCTTCCCTGTGGTACCGCCTCTCCAAGGCCCTTTCCCACTCGGCGTACGGTGGTGCTGCGTGGCACGGTGGAACGGAAACACAGCCACCGGTTCCGTGATCGAACGTGGCGGAAGTGGGTGCCGGTTACGTGGGTGGCCTATAGTGACGGGACGCTAGAAGAATACGCCAAAAGTAAGGTCAGTTGTTACCCACAATTTTTGTATTTAAACAGTTAAATTATTATGCAATTTTTGTTGTTTATATTTCATAGTTCGATAATTATAATCATAAGGTGTGCTGCTGGTAATAATCAGCACATTACAAGGAATTATAGTGACATTACATTGAAAAAATTACAAGAGCGTGTGACACAGCTTTCAAAAATAGAACAGATTTTTGAAGCGGTTAATATTTAATGAAGACATGCAATACGGTATTACTATTACAAATATTTGCAGGAAGCGTCGATTGTGGTTGTTGTGCTTATTAATAATTTCATTTTTGAATTTGGAAAAATAATTTTGTTGCCTCCTGTAGCACAATCACGAACTGCTGAGTGCCTACCGTTTATCCGACTGCTCCATCCGTTCCGTCCCTCTTCCCTACCAAACACCCTCTGTCTTCGTCAACCCGGACAACTATCTCTGCATCAGCAACCATAACTTGGCGCTAGAGTTATACAAGAAACTGACCGGTCGTGTTGACCTTTACCGCACCCCTAACAAACTCCTCCAGATACAGTGGTTAGCCGTACTGACCAATTTATCCTTCAGCACGTCACCGCGACGCACTACCCCTGTTATGATCAAAGCCACGGCGTCCGAGCCGACCCGCTTCCCCGCCAAAGTATCCATTCTGAAGGAAAAGCGGTTAGTTGACATTTTCGGCGTGGTTGTCCCGCTGTGGGTCAGTGTAGTGTGGGAGTACGATGAGCAGTACGGCATAAGGAGAAGATATCACACAGCGGTAACTGTTCCCTTAACATTAATTTTTGCGACATTTTTACTGTGCGCGTCCGCAGGAAACGGTGTCTCTATGTCGACCGCCCATGGCAAAGAACAAAGTTTATATTTTTATAAATATTCAAAAGTTGAAATACGTAAATTTTTAAATAAATAATCTATTATTATCTTATAGTTTTATTAAATAATAATTTAAATGAATTGTAATTCTAATAAATTTATAATTTTTATTTGTTGCTGTGTATTAACCTTATTATGTAAGTTATTATTTTAATTATTACTCGTGTTAGCATTATCTTAATTTTTAAGAAATAAATTGACAACTTTATTGTTTTGCTTAATAAATCTGCTGTGTCCCATTTCTTTGTGTCCGTATGAGCTTATTACAGTAGTAAATGTTGTTAGTTATGTTAACAATACGTTTTATATGATTATACGAGGACAACTGGGTGCTGTGAACATACCCTGCACGATTAGGCTGCGATGAACAGCCCGTAGCTCGCAACGCTACTGATATCACAGTCTGAATGCAAACGGCTTAAATTTAGCCGGCTGTTCATCGCAGCCTAATCGTGCAGGGTATGTTCACAGCACCCAATTGTCCTCGTACTGAAACTGTTGCCAGCGGACGCGTACGGTAAAGTACCGATGTCTCATTGCTAAATAAATTAGCAGTTTTACATATGATTTTGTTTTGTAGCTACACCAGGCTGTTATAGGAAAACCCGTTGAACCTTTGCAGCCTTTACCCGATCTCTCCACCAGCTCCTTCGTCGTCCCCTGGTCGCGAGCGACTAAACGTGACCTTCCTCGCCACGAAGCTCCAGTAATGCCGTCGTTCGGCTCACGGTCATGCAAATCCAACCGGCGTTTCGTCATCAAAAGCCGGGACAACGAAGAAGACATTGGTGTGCTGACGCCTTCATCGGATGAACGCGATGAGTGGCTGGCGGTGCTCCGGAAGGCCAAATCACTGTATTCGTTGAGAAGTTGTCAAAGTGACACTGCTGCATGTGACGCAGTGAAGCCGGCTCATGAAATAAAATACAGTGTTTCAATGTGTCCTGTGTCTACTGCTGCCGATGGCGATGTCAAAACCTCAAAATCCTGCGACAAAGCCATAGAAGATCGGAAACTTGCAGAAAGTGTGCCGCCACCGGCGCCTAGTGGCAACCACTTTCGGGAGGCGGAAGGAGACTGTCGGAATTTTATTTGTTACTCTATGCTACCAGTTGGCAACACGCCCTATAATGTAGGCGACCTTTCTCAATTTCTTCCGACAATTGTCGCACAGAATTGATTATCGATGCAACTGCATTTATTTGCTAAAATATACCATACCTAACTTTATTTAACGATCAGGATAAAAGACTCCTTGGTGCGTGATGGGCAAATGGTAAAACAAAAACGGTAATTTTATTTTTTTGTGGCGTAACTGAACGATTTGTTTGTTGACATGCCGATGTACTTCTACTGAAATATGTTTAAAGCGGATGTGAGGATATTCTACGCCGAGAAAACTTAACGCCACCGCGGCGCGCCACCTTCAGTTCCGCTAAAATATTGATACAGCGATTGCTAAGTAAACGGGAAACTACAAAATATTTATACCGCATACCGGTATTTACGGCGAAACCAACAACACGCTCATAAAGGCGAGGCGGATTTTGTGGTTTCTGTCCGCTTGTATAAAGTGTCGATTCAGCACTTCGTCGGCAACTGTCCTTAGAAAATAACACAACGCGGCACATTGTAAAACGCACCTATAAAACGTAGCATGGAACTCGTAACTTCAGCCGATATAAAATCATTTTGCCGCGGCGAAATACTTTGCAGAATAATTACCTATTTTAATCGCTCTCTTGAGCTTTAAATTTATTTAGCACCACATGTAATTTAGGTTAATTTTTTGACGCTTGTCGATTTTCGGACAGATTCTTAATACTGATCTTGCTATATTGCCAAAAGATGTATTTCTCAGTCGCATTTACTTTAATGCTCGTGTGCGTTGGACTCGCTGCTGCCGCTAGCTCCGGACGTAAGTCAGAAAAGATAAATTCTAAAGTTTCGCAGCTTTAGGTCCAATTTTTTTGTCTCTAATCGCTAACAGGACAATTATTTTTTGCACTTTATATTGTTCGCTATGCAATCACTTGATTTGAAATCAACCGAAAGAATTGCAATTTCTGCTTGCTTATACGAATGCCAGTGTTTACTTGATACAATTCCAGGTTGCCCAAACGGACAATGGCCGGTCAATTGCTACGCCAACCCGTGTTCCTTTAACAGCTGTCCCGCCTACCCCACTGCCACCTGTCAGGCTAACTACTGCGGTGGCTGCAATGCGCGCTTCTACCTCAACGGACGGGACGTCACTAGCCGGTGCAACAGGCGCGCGAAGCGGGCTATTAACTGTCCCTGGGTCAAATGCGCAAATCCTGTTGCGTGTTTCGTCGAGCCTTGCCGCGGAAAGACTTGCCCAGGACGGCCGGGAGCTAAGTGCTGCAATAACTACTGCGGTGGATGCAATTATGCCTTCTATGAAAACGGGATGAACGTGTCGAATGCCTGCTAATCTCTTGTGCATAAATCATAATACTGGAGAGCTGACTTCGATTCTGTTAACTCGGTGGATTATTTTGGTGCATTATGTGCAAACACGCCTTGCTAAAACATATGTAAAGTTGGAATGAATAATTATGTAAATTAAACACTATAACAAACGGTTGTGTTCTTATGGAGTTCATTAGAGTCGATTGCTTCGCTTTTAAGGCTACGAGCAGATTACACCATATTCCAAGTAAAACGACCCAGAAAAACGTACTGTAATTAAATGTTTTAAAGTAACAGTCAGATGCAAATACGGACCAATCGTAGACACTCCCGGGTGCCTGAGAGTCGGAAAGTCATTTTTCTTACACTAATAATCAACTGCACGCGGCAGCCGATGACGCTAAAAGCCACCAGGTTGGTCAAGGCGCAGTTTTCCGGTCGTTCGCGGCGCTTCGCGCGGTCTGAGGGAACGTGAGGAAGAACTCCAAGATCTGGGTGCGGATGGCATGGAAAGTGGTGGACGTGATGAGAGGGGAGTCACATACCGCGACAGCTCTTCTGTCTTTGAATTTTTCAGTAGCTACTATATATCACTCAGTATCAGCCACAACACTGGGCCATTAATATATAAAGATATACTTTTTGTTTAGTGTAACGATTGTACGCTGTACTTCATTAGCTTTAACGTTTACCAGTCTGACCGGAATTCGTACAGAACGAATGCGTCTGTTGTTGTGTTGCTGTTTGCGTTTCGCACAAGAATCTTCGCTAAGTGCGCTTCTCAGATTCGTCTGCTTGCTCTCGCTAATAACACCCGTACGCAAAATGTGAATAAAATTGTATGATGTTTGCAGACATAAGAAGTTAATGCAATAAAAGGTTACAACTGGAAAAGATGTACGAATAAGAGGCAATAATGCCCAATGTGCAATACTCTGCTATCAATCGCTACGTTGAAATCTCGGCATCCTGTAATCAAGAATAAAGCGACAGTAAATTTCAGAAAAAAAATATTTAGAAATCAGTCAGAAACCGGAAATCTGTGCATTCAGTCGGAACTTGTGCCTAATACCCATCAGTCTCGCAAAGGGTAGGGAAACTCCCGTGAATTTGTTTATTACTCTGTAATAGAAACTGGCAACTTCCCCGAATTGTCAATGACCTTTCGTTCAATTGTCGCACAAAAGTTATTTCTACGATTGAAACGCAGTATCCTTAAGCGATGTGGTGAAATATAAGTGTGCATGAAAAAGGACGGCTGCCAAGAACTTACGGACATAATATTACGATAACTTTCAATATAAAAGTTACTAATTTTATTGCAGGTTTCATTTTGCGCCATTAATAGGTTTGTTTGTCGATCTGCCACTATGTTGTAAATACTTCTATGCCCAAAGCGGATACTGTAATATTATATTACACTGATAAAAGTCAGCGTCAGAAAGGTGCGATGCCTCCGCTTCGCTGAAATATTGGTTTAATTATTGCTTAGTAAACATTAGACTATAAAATATTTTTGCCGCAGATAGGTATTCACAGTAAAACTGAAAACACGCTCGTAAAGGCGAAGGGAAGTGTTTGGTTCCAGTACGCTTGTTTGAAGTGGTGATTGGGCACTTACGGCTGTGATTGTCTTTGCAGTAAATGCCACAACACCGCGCATAGTAAAATGGTTTCTCATCCTGACGGTCGTAATTTCATCTGATATAAAATCACTTTCCTGCGACAAAATGCTTGCACAGTAAGGTATTACTTCGTTCGTGGTTTTCTATGTGCTTATAATTTATGTGGTATACCGCTCGTATTCAGGATTGTGTTTGACTTCTGCTAAAGTTTTCAAAGGCAGGTTATTTTTTGGTCTTTCTCGAGTGACAGAAAATGCATTTTTCAGTCGCATTTGTTCTACTAATCATGTCCACGGGACTTGTTGCTGCTGCCACTTTTGGACGTAAGTCATTATGAGAAATTAAGTTGAAGCGCTACATGTAATTTTAATTGTTGTGTCTGTAGACTGCAGCCTAATCATAAATGCAGACTGCCAAAGGATTGCGCAAAATAATGTTTACTCAATTGTATTTTTATTAAATTATTATGCTTAGCCAATTTCATTTTTCTGGTGCAATTGGGAATCAAACGAAAGAATGTTATTTTCATGCGCTTGCCTGAACGCCGTTTTTCTTTTTGACACAGGTTGCCCCAACGGGCAGCGGCCAGTGTATTGTTATGTAGACCCGTGTCAGACGAGCAGCTGCAACGCATTTCCTATCGCCAGATGTCGCGCCGACTACTGCGGGGGTTGTGTTGCGCGCTGGTACCTCAACGGGCAGGATGTCAGCCTCTACTGTGACCGTCTGATCGAGATACGGTCCCTTTCCTAATCTCTTGGTGGCTCAAGAGCCTCGGTTGAATGCGACAATGCTCATCATTGTTTCGTCGAACCCTGCCGCCAAAAGATCTGTCCGGGATAACCGAGTGTCAAACACCGCAAAAACCGCTCCACATTGATGTCTTTATGAAAACGGGGTGAACTTGTCGATGTGCTTATCCGCAGCGTAAACCTGTTGGTTTGCTTCAGTTTCCATATTGTCGCCATTTCGTTGCTTTGCTTTAGTCAGTTTTTCCACATCATGGCGGCGAAATTTAGAACAACAAACATGCACACATTTGATATTTTTGCATGGTCTGCGAAGTATTTAATATCTGATCCCTGATCGCTCGAAAAGTACGCATATGCGGTACTGTTTTCAAATTAATTATGTAGTCAGCTTTTAGCTGTCTTATCTTCCCGCTTAATTGAAGATATCCCAAGTTCGCAACTGAACATAAGCGCTGTATACAGTATCACAACGATGCTCTCAAAGCATCTCATGTTGAAATGGCTGGTTAGCGCTTCGATGGACGTAGCAGCTGTTCTGTTTAGAAAAGGAAGCAAGGTCACGAAATCTGATATGACTACTGATATGATGATTACTGATATGATATGATTACTGATATGATGATTACCAGAACCAACTGAAACCAGCTCATCGTGCCGTCAGATCGCAGGCTAGTTTTATAGAACGTCGTCCCGTACAACTGTAGACAAACCAAAGACACCGAAATCACGAACTTCGACGACTCGGTTGCAACACGATCATGTCCCTTCATAGTTATCCGTAAAAATGCAACGGATAGTCGCGGAACGGTGTCCTCATAGCCACTCGAAATCTGAACAGTACTTTAATCGAAACTGCCGTTTTCGGTTAACTAAGAGGCGGCCTTTAACGGACCACGCGCTAGAGGTGTATGGAGCAGTGTTATTGGGTCAAAGCGATGAGACTAGGCGGATTAGATCACACCAGAAGATAATAGCATCATTGCAAGTACGAATTGTAGGCGATGTCACTGTTGCCCCTCTGAACTTTGTACGTTAATGTGGTACCAGAAGTTTACTCCATCTTGTACGGATTCGTCTGTTCTCTGAAAAATTATGGTAAAAAGAAACAGCGTCCTCTGCTGGAGCATGGCATCCATGAATTCGGCTTGACCAGCCAGCTGCATTCACGTCTTGATTTTATCGAAAAACACTTGGCTTCTTTAACTTTTCTTTTAGCACAAACCATTCTGTGTTTTGGTAAGTACAATAGCATGTCCTGAATCAGCAAAGCCTTTTCATGATAAGGTTAGTAAACTTTTATCGAGTTAGGACCGCCAGCAACGCGTTTACCAGCTTTCCGGCATAGTATACTGACAGATACAGCTCTACAGGTGTTTAAAGAGTTCTTGTGCCGCACAAGAACTCTTTAAACACGAAAGCGTAGAATGAATGTGCTATCGCGATAAGAAT